CATAGACGCTATCTTTCAACTAAAAAGACTTAGACGTCGCGGTTAGCAGTTAGCACAGATAACATAATATGCAGTTAGTAACCAATATAACTTAGTTTGTTTATCCTTGTCTGGTCTTATACATTTAGGTGTTTTAAAGAATTCGTCTATATAAATACAATTATAATAATCAAAGATTTACATACTTATTATAATTCAGTCGGGTCACACCTTTCTGTTCCAGAGTTTATTAGATAAAAAATAATTTATTTAAAATAAAGAAACCTAAAGATGTACATAAGTCTTTATTTCGACCCTATTGAAGTCTACATTTTATTATCAGACCAAAAAAAATATTTCTACGTTCATAGATATACCAATTATCTATGGAACGTATGTACGTACTGAAAAATTAAGTGAAGCTGCATAACCACACTAAAAGCAGATAAAATTATTTCACTAAGTTTAGAATCTGATAGTATTCTGTCTTGTCTTTTATATTGGTCTGAGTTTACTAGTATATATTTTTGATTTCACAGTAATGTAATAGAAATAACTACAATAAATCAAAGTTCTTAAAACCATGGAATGTTCATTCAAACACAAATATCTTTTTTTTATACAGCAATACAGAAAATTATACTTACATTCTTTAGAAGAAATAAAGTCGACGATAAATGTGTACTGTATCGATTTTATTGCGCAATTCTTTTTCAGATACTAACTTAGTTATGAGATATTTTATGATTGTGGAAAAAAATTGATGATCGATGAACATTCGCAATGCGAATAGACTGTAGCCGTTTACTTAGGAACACGTTAAGATCCATTCTGAAATATCATTCTCGAAACGTACGGGCGTCTCGTAGGGACAATAATAGGTAATATTAAATTTATTCTAATACTATTCGTATTTTTTTTTCTAAATCAGTATCTCGAGTGAGCCAATTAAATATATTGCAGAATAGATCGCACATGTTGTGTGAACATGTATAAGTCATATTGATTCTACTAGGTTGTTTAGTTGTTTTTCTCTATTTTTCCTTTATAGTAAACAATTATACACCAATATTACTGAAACAACAGTTGGGACAGGAATAAATTGCTAAAATATACATATATATTTTTAATAGTATTATTTACAATTCTGAATTATTCTTGTGTTATAAAAACAATATGTTAAGTTATCTCGTTCGAGCAAAAGTTCCTTAGGTGGGTGTTAAACTCGTTTATGAGTTAAGATATTAATTCAAATATGTATTAAATATACCTAAATGCCCTACAATCAATTTACTCATTGAAGTCAAAAGACATATAACATTTCCCATTTTAGAAAACATTGGATTTTTATTGATTTTTATGCAAAATTACAGGGCTATTTAGGAATGGACATTATTGAAATACTACTGGCAATGAATCATTCCTATTTATAAAAACATTATATAATACTGGACTTTACTGGCTACTTATTTAAAATATTTACTTTCCCTATAAGTATGTCTTTTAGTATCTTAACAATATAACAAGTCACAGGTTAGGTATAAAGACTATGTTACGTCACACGATACATTTACCTTAAACATTGTTATAACTACTTACACAGCTGTATATTCATATGCACTTTCCATAGACTAGGTTACATTCAGAACTTACATTATTGGGGAGATGTTGGAAATAAACACCGCTAGGAACAGCACCAAAGAAATAAATTTAAATATATTTGGAATAAATCACATGTTAAATATTTAAATAATTCGTAATAATGATCTTATATTATTTAAATAAATTCTATTACTGGAGCACCCTAAAAACATTTTTGGAAGGACACTATGCAAATTACATGAAAGACACAAAAAATTCATTGCAAATAAAAACTCATATTACTGGCCAACTAACTTACTTTCTGAATATTTTTGTATTATATATATATATATGTAACATGCCAAAATCTACGACAAATTACAATCTCATTAACACATATATTAAAAATAAATCGACTTGACATTTAAAAAAATTGGATGAGATAAGATAAGTGATATAGAATGAGACAGTGATGGTTACAAATTTAATATGTTTAATGATCATATAGCAAATTTTTTTTTAAATTTTAATATATCATTTATATATGTATTCGTAACTTCTTATAAGTACACTTGTTCTAGTAAATTCTATGATCATATTGTGACCTCGTGGAATACAGTATGAAGTGTGATATTTATATATAAGATAATGTCCTACTATTTTATTTTCGAGTATGCTCAGTAGATCCACTGAATTCTTTTACACTTAACTAATTACTAATATTTAATATCGCCGTCATATACTCTATGACTGAGTAATGACAAATGATAATTACAGCGTTTTTAAATTAGGCAATTGGTTTTAACAATTATGAAATTTACTTGCACATAGGTGATAACTACCTATTATTAATGAACTCTGTAGAAATGTAACTTGGTATAACACAGCAAATATTATAAATTGTATTATTATATACTTAATATATTATAAAATGTATTATATATTGTAAATTCCGTCGTTACATTAATTGCTTAATTTAAAAACGCACTGTGTATATACGAACAAAACGTAGACAAATTTAACGTCCATTTCAAGTATGTCTGAAAATGCTTATCACTTGTAATTATTTACATGTGATTCAAAGGCAACAAAATTGCATACCGTAGATGTATACACATTTTTGTGCGAACCTCGACTCCTATCCAAAGATGTTCATTATTCTAAAATTTAATATATATATATCTTTCTCTAATTATTGTAGCCGGTTGACCATTTCATTGTTAATTGTTTCTAAAATCATATATAATATACATTTATATATATGTATATATAAATATATGTGACTTATTGGTTTAAATATTCTTATTTACCTGGTTAAAATTGTAAGAAAATGTAATGTCGCAGTGACATAATATGTATTTATTACTACGTACTATTTGGCATACTTATTACTATTGGTTGCTAAGATGTTAAGAGCATTTACATATAGAATTTTATATGTAATAAATTCAAAGTGTATACTTTGACTTTATTACACACATATACATATAAATCAAGTACTTGATTTACGTATTATTTTTGTTATAGTATAATATATTTTTCATATATCCTGGTCTTAAAACTGGCTTTGACAAGACTAACATCCAAAAATATACCGTCCAGATAGATAAGCACGCATTTACATTTAGAGGACTTGTATTCTACAATTATTACAAAACTAAATTCAAGTTATATTGAATAAAAAATAATATCTAAATCTGACCACTTTGTAGATATTTATGAGTGATTCAGACTGACCCATCTGAACGGAGACTGTTGCATTGTTACCGGAGGCATTGTCAGTGTTAGACCAAGAGCAAAGGAAACATAAAAATGCATCCTAACATCCGCTAGCATTTCTATATATCTCTATAATTGGTTATTAGTGGTAATAGAAATACGGCGGGCATATATAAACTTCAGTACGCACTATCATTACGATTGACTCACATTTCAATTTGAGTCTCAGTATAGTCATTGATGTTCAAGTCAAAATTCTGACAATTTAGATGTAGTCAAGAACCTAATAGATGTAATTACAAATTTGCTTCATTGTTTTTATAATGCATAACTTTTTTAGTCTGTCCCAAGTCAAGTAATATTAAATAACAGACTACAGTACAGCATAATCCAGGTTATATTCCATCGGATACACTTGGATACGGGTTGGCGCAAGGCGAACAGAGGCGATAAAATACAAATAATAATGTATTATTTGTATTTTATTGCCTATGTTGTATATATTAAAGATATTTTATTTATCGCTTACTTCTAGCTTAGTATCTGTGTAAGTCTGTTTTCAAAATATTAAGGAATCATATAATGCAGAAAACTCTGCAATGCTCTTTAAATTGAGAACATCTAAATATATTATACTTTTTTCTTTATTAGACCAAAAATAATATGAGTGGGCAAAGATAATAAATATCAATTTATGTTCGTATTTCAAATTGGACTAGTGCTAAATGGTTGTGTTTCTCATAAACATAATATTATTTTATAGTATATTATAATCGCTAAGTCATTCAAAATATACAACCCTAATTACCATTATTGAGAACACACTTTATGTTATATCCATTACAATTATTCTACGCACTCATTTAATACAATACATAATGTATTCAAGACAATTAAATATCTACTCTTCACTTCAGATACATTATTTTCTAATTATATACAGTTTATTGTTATAAAGGCAAGAGTCAATTGGTCGGGCGATAGCTGTTTGTGCTTGCCATCTCTAAAAATTAAAAATATGACATGATTCATAACAAAAATTAGACCTATTCATTTTAATAGTATGCCAATATTATGTACTGATAAGTAATAACATACTAAAAAGTGTACAAGTATGTCGATAGGAGAACACTATCATCGTTTATGCTATTATGATCATAAGAAAAGAATTAACAAATCTCGTGTATTAGCCAAACTTGGCTTCTACCTGGCTAAAATATGACTACCATAAATCAAAACGTCAAAATCTTGTACAAATTTGTATTAGGACGAAAATATGCTCGTACTATTGACATCCCTGATTAGGACACGAACATTGCAGATTACATTATAAATGTAGATAACACTATATGTTCATGGCCAACCGTTGTTGTATAGCATTGCCTTGTAACGCCAAATTATCAGGTTAACGGCATACAATGTTATCAATAGAGCGGCCATTAACCGTTATCACAAAAACAATAAATCTCAGAAATGAAATTATAATAATACCTATAAATTATAGTGTTTAGTCTAAAGTATTGACTTCGTTACTGACTTTATGCAAATTGTTATCAAGGATATTAAATATTTATTGATTGTGAAAGTAGGTCACTAAGACGTATATTGACTTATGAATCACCCGTGTTGTTAATTATTACAATTAAAAATGAAACTTTTCATTACAAATTCAACAGGTATTATTTAATAAAAAAGATTTTATTTAGACATTGAGATAACATATTGAGGGCAGTTATTAAGTTAATTAGTCACTTGTATTCATTGAATTGTGTATTTGGACTTAAATATACAGAAGTATATGATAAAAACAATAATAAAATTTATAATAGAAAGTCCCTCTAATTAGAAATAGATAACAGAAATTATTTGAACTACTTGTTCTGCCAGACATTTTAATTTTAAACATCGAAACATATATTTTGAGAAGAAAAACAAAGTAAGCAAAATAAGAGACTACACTAACGCAAATGGTGTGTGAGAATTAATCACAGTGGCAGTACTAAAATTTAAGAAATCAGTAATGGAATGTTATTAACCATCCAATGCCACATACTAGATTTTAATCACGTCCGTCGCCCTCCAAATGAAATACGTTTAAATGTAAATATCACGTCTGGAACATACCGGAGGTACGTGCGACCATTGTCGCTGTTCGAGTGTAGAGTAGAAACTTAAATGTGCATACGAGAGTTGAGCTTGTATACTACCGACGTCGGCGCGCTCGCTCCGTCGCTGGTCGTCGCCGTGCTGGAATTGAAATTTCAATCTCCTCAATTATTCAACATTTTTTGGACTTCTCGTGTTGCGTGTATGTTAAACCCAATCTAAACCCAACTCCACCGAAAAGTCAGTATCGGTTTTTATGAGATTTTGTGTGCATATCTGGTAGAATATGAAAATCGGTCAAAATCAATCGTTAAAGTAGACTAACCCCTAAATAATGTTTTTTTTTTTTATTTTGTTGACAATTTATTTTATTTTATTATGATTTAAATTTTGATTGAGAAATACATACATATTCAAATTTTCATCGCTTTACGATGAACCCCTGTTTTCTATAGAGATATTAGTAATTGAATTTATATGGGAAAACAACGTGTGCTGGGTCATGTACTTTTATTTATAGATTTTATTATTCAAATTGTATAATACGAAAATTATCATAAACAGAATGAATTACTTACCGAATCCACCAAAAGCATCGCCCGGCGTTCTCAACCCCTAATCCCTTTTCTTGCCCTTCTTCTTACCGGACCTCTTGCTGTAATTCTGCGCAAGCGCATTAACTATTGACACTACGAAGTACACCACCATGGCTAGCACGAATTTCTCTAGTAGACTTGAGAGTACAGATCCTTGGTTTTCAGGATTAGTTGTAGAATTATTCTTATGTAGTCGAGCCTTTTGATTCCTGAGGAACTCTAAAAGTGGAGCTTCAAGTTTTGGACCTATGTATGGTATCCTCTCAACCCATGATAGGACTTGGCTGAAATTAAAAATAATACTTATGAGACATTTCATAAACATTGATGTTAGAGTTATATTTTAGGGGGCATATTCGCATTCGCATTGTAAATATACATATTCAGATAATTGGCACACATTTTGTTGTATTTGAATGATGGATTGGTGCAATTTATTGAATTATAGTGAATTTAATGTTATTAAATTTGTATTAATAGTACTAGTAGACGAGTTACTGTACTGAAAGATAATTTATGAAATAATAGTTTATTATTTTTGGTTTAGATTTTGTTAGTTATTTATTCAAATGAAAATCTAATTAATTAAAGTAATAAAACATATTAAAGCAACGGTACATATGTCGAAAAAATCAACATAATTGATATAGAATAAAAAAAAAAGGAAAAAATAACTCACCCCACTAATACTTCATTGAATGCAATAATAACAAACATTTTTTGTATGTGCATCTTTATAACTGCTTTGCCCAGAACTGTGGCACCAAAGAATGTCCAGAATGGTACAAGGAAGTGGCCACAGGTGAGGCCGGCTAGATCGAACAATGGGTTAGGTACGGAAGCACACGCCAGAATACCAGCAAATCCCACTCTTTGTACTAATTTCTGTACCATGAGTTTTGCCCTGGAAAATATGAAAAATTATGCTGTTTAAGTTTTCGCTTAAAGTTTAAATTAACCATTGAATGAAAATATTTTGGTGATCCTAAAGGTGCTTCTGCGCGATCATCAATAATTAACTTAAAAATAACAAATATTTATTATAACTTTAAATAATAGTATCCTAAGGATTGGAATGAATTTATTTTCGACCTCACGAGTTCAGGTCTCTCAATATAATAACAAACAAAATAAAGTTCTTTTTTATATACTTACTATCTGTGCCCGCGGATCACCCGCGTTATAAGTCAATATACAAATTTCAATAAAATATACATCTTATGTGTTAATCTGATGCATAAGCTATATTACTGAAAAGGTTCAACAAAATCCGTTAAGTAGTTTTTGCGTCAAAAAGTAACAAACATCCATATTCACAAACTTTCGCGTTTATAATATTATTAAGATGTGAAATCAATTTTACGGCCCATGTAGCATACTATCAAATAAACTTACTAATATAATTTAATTATTACATCTGTAACATTACGGTGGTGAGGTGATAACCATCGCCCTACACCTCCATACCCAGTAATTTCAATGCCATATTTTGAACCAGAATTCAGATTCCAATGTGAGTTATGGACGGCACAAATAAATAGGTCAATAAAATTAAATATTTTAGTATAGGTACATTGTATAACTAAGCTTTTAATGTTTCACCATACCGTCCAGTTCTGGAATCGTCATTGGTATTGAGTTCGGCTACACCACCGCCTGAAAGACGCGCCGCTCGCGCCATAAAGTACGGTGGCAGCTCGCCGAGGGCTGTCCCGATACCCCACATCATGGATTCCACTCGGACCTTGGACATTATGTTCCATATCGACACCGTATTGTTAGGGTCAAGTTCTGCGGGGCAAATTATGCTGGAGACGAAACAAATTTATTTATTTATTAAAACTTTAATGCACAAATGCATAAATAAAGGTACACATGGCGGACTTAACACCTTGAGGCATTTTCTCCCAGTCAACCATTGGGCAAACAGAGATTCATGTTGGCGGTGCATTAAGAAATTGAAATTCAAATCTAAAAAAATTAAATAATAAGAAGATCACTTTAATATGCTTAAATATAAATACACATGCGAATATACTTATAAACTATAATACATAATATGAATAAATAATTATACATATATAAATCTAACTACATACACATACGTACCCACATACATACATACATACAAATACACATACAATTATAAATTTATACAAATCAACAGGGAAATTCAGATGCATAGAGGTGGTTGGGTGGAGGAATTATACTACAAGGATAACAGGAGCCTACACTAGTTCTGGGAAAGGTGTTTGCGTAATTTGGATTTGAATGTGAATTTTGAAGAGCTGGACTTAATGTCAAGGGGTAACTCGTTCCAGTGTTTAATGGCCTGTAAAGTGAAAGATTAAAGCTAGCTGAGAGATAAAAACTAGCTGTATCCGCCAGTTACCTGTATATAATCAGGTGAAAAGGTTCCTAAAATGTAAAATATGACTTATTTGTGTACCAAAGTTTATTTGAATCCATTCAGTAGTTTTTGCGTATTTTTTTTGTAATATAGTAACAAAAATACATACATCTTGACAAACTGTCACGTTTATAATATTAATAGGATCATTCCAGATTGTCTGTAAGATATTGTTTTTAGCGATAAACCAACGTTTTATTAAGGAGATTCTTACAAAAAGAATATTGAAATTTGTGAAGTTTTAGTGCGCAATACAGATTATTATATCATAGTTATTTATGGTTAGCTAAAAATATACTACATCATATCAATGTTGATAAAATTAATTTAGCATTAATACAAGAGTTCATTTACTCTACGTACATATTTATTTTTATGTATGAAACAACTTAAAAATATGTACATTAGCCGCATCACTTTGGTCACGACAGAATACATAGTAGTCCCTACTAGCATTATTCCTTATACGTTGACGCATATGAAATGTACGTGTAATAACTCTTATGGATTCCCTATATGCTCTTTATTAGTAATGTTATCAGGAACCTAATTTCATGAGACGATATGGTGTTTGCGGGGAATCCACTTATTACGTTCCTTAAATTAACATATTGACCGGGTTATCGACCAGTTAAAATGCGGCCAAGTCATCTATTCATATTTGTCATAGATTGTGCATTGTCTAGACAATTTATCAATAAATATTAATAATGACGCAATATTCAATTTATATATAACACATTAACGACAATATATGTCTCATCCTGAAGAGAATAAGTTTGAAAGGAAAAGATTTTACGATCTACTAATAAGTTAATAATATATTTAATTCATATACCACAGCATTCATGGTATTCCCAAACATCCATCATCATTCCTTTAATGGTATTTCTGAACCGAAACGATATTGAAACCTTCAAGAAAAGAGCTTATTCCTTCTTAAAAGGCTGGCAACGCACTTGCAATTCCCTTGGTATTGCGGATGCTCTTGAGCGATGGTTACCATCAAATAAGCCGTAAGCTCATTTGTTCCCTATGCTAGAACTATATAAAAATGCAATATAGACTTTGATATACTAACTCATTAGGGTACGGTGGTTCCGGAAAGTTGAGTGCGCCGCACTCATACGCCGCAAGAGTGACCCGGGCGATGTGTGGTCCCAGATATAGTAAAAAGGTATGTAAGCCTGTACCGAGGCCCACAGAACTGCAGACGCCCAACACCACCCACCAACCCCACCACGCCAGCGTCGACACCACCAACTGGAAATATAATGAACGATTAGGAATACAGACAGTTGAGTAACAGAGGGTTCGTAATGGGGAAGTGACCCAAATAGCAATTTACCATGTTAGGTCGACCGCGCCGTCCTCCCTGGAAATCATCATGTAACTTTCCACAGGCGATTTTTAAGTCAAGTATTTTTTGAGTTTATCAAGTACATACACAAAATTATATTTTTTATACTTTATATAAATAAAATAATACTAAAAAAAATCAAATTTGGTTCACAACTATTTTTAAATTACCTTTACACCAAAACTAGACCTTACTCTATCACCATGCCTATTAGCATTGCTACTCATATATTGTTAGTATTGAGCACAAGAACGTTACTAAATAGTAATGTACCATGTCAGGTCGACCTCCATGTGGTTCCTCCTGGAAATCAAGTGATCTCGATGTCTCACGATGGACTAACTGACCTGACCTCATTCTCATCTTATCATCCTATATCAGGCCATTCCATTGTTACCAATAAAAAAAAAATCTCACTGTAAGCCGCCAACACCTGTGTATCAACTGACACTTAATAAAACAGTAAACTGACACTAAGTATCTGTACAACACGGGTGGTGATACAAATGAGTGGGCACACTGTCACAATACACAGTCATCATAACTGAAGAGTGCAACCGTTGCATGATCACGCAATAATACCGGGAATTTATTCGTGTAGTCATGCGTGCAGTTCTGTGTTGATATGATCGATCTAATAACAGCGTTGAAAGATAGATAATCAACATTGGGATTGGACAACTTTTTGTATGTAAATATAACACCGAACAAGTGCAGAGAGGTTTTTATTTCCTAACAAATGTTATAACTTTAATGGTTTGTAGTACATCAGGACTTTAAACCACAAAATCTACGTTTATTTTTTATACAATAGTGATTCTTAACAATAAATTTATTTATTTATTGTATTAGAAGTATCACTATCACATAAATTAAAAGAAATGCAACCAACCTCGCTATGCAGTTAATGAGGCATTGTTTCTAGCCTTTAACAGTTGCTAGACAGCGAACTGTTTCCCGCTATACTTGAGACACAATTTATTGTTCTAACACTTAGTACCAGTGAATGCACATTATTTAAGTAGCGCTTTCTTTAAAAGTAGACCAGCCTAATAAATATTAGAAACTTCATATAAGTAAAACTAAATGGTGTATATATTCAAAGTGTATAAATGGAGAGAATTGACATAAAATGTAACCACAGAAAGACTATTAGATAAACACTTCTTTCTTATAAGATTAACACTTCTTTCTGACCACAATGTGTCACTGTTATGATATGAAAAGAAATGATCGTAAACAACCCTTCTAAAGGTTAAATGGTTACCGTAGCTTATGAAAGGGTTCCGTGCTAATTACTGACCCAACCGACAAACCAACCCTGATATATTCTTGAAAAAGACTTTCTGAAGTCTATAGACAAAATTTTGGCAGGTAGTTTATTCTAGAATCGTAGAAATGTACGTAGGCTACACTTGATTACAATAAACTACTATGTTTTATTGTGCAAAGGGAACATTATAATAATTTTCCTATTTAAACTCGCCGCAGATTCGCAACAGGTGCCATTATTGTAAGGCTTTCTATTTTTACAAAGACACCTAATAACAGAACATGTTCCTTGCTGAAAAGGCAGCATTCTAATAACTAAAGAATCTATAAAATAGCTTCAGTATTTTTATTACCTTAGCGCTGATCAGTAAGTTAAGTGTAGTATACCTATCTTATATTAAAAATACAAACCTGTACATAAAATTGGTGAGGTCCACTGATGTAGTATGAAACTACTGTGGCGACGATTAATAATACTGTTGTCAACGCCAGTAATTTGTAAGCTAATAATCTGAAAATGATAAAACGAACATTAGTACTAATTGAAACTGAACATTATAGAACCAAAATGCGTCTATTAAATTGATTGCATGTAAGTAATTATTACTGAGTTTTAGTGATAACTGTTAACTGAAAAAGACAATAGAAAATAAAAGAATTTTTTAATCACCTAAGATAACGCGTAAAATACACGCAAATAAAATTATTTGCTCCACAAAAAACAAACTAAAATAGAGTTCATCTATCAATTGAAATGAATATACAAATGTGAATGCCAAACGCATCGCGTAACGTTCACAAAATCAACATCGGTTTGAGAACTTCCGTTTGGCAATCGGGGGAAAAAAATAAAGTAAAATTGAGAACTTCCGCTTGTAAAAGAAAATATATACCTACCTTTGTATACCAGTACTGATGAGTATCAAAAGTTCCCTAAAGAAATATTCTAGAGTTGTAAACGGCCGCCTCCATAGTACTAAACTATCTGAATCCATTGGTACACTTTTATTCCTGTAACAAAAATATGATCAATTGTCTTTTATCTCTGGAATGATAAAAATGCTGACGGCCCACCTGATAGTAAGTGGCACTCGTCGCCTGTATAGTACATATGATGAGCACTACGGATATTGCAGCATCATAATATGACTCTTTCGATGTCATCCCGGAATACTAAGACACTATTTTCTATACAAAGGTTAGTCCTTTAGGGATTGATTTTCCAAAAATCCTTAGTATGTTTACATTCGAAATTACTTTTCGCCAACTAGTCCCACCCACTGTAAGCTTAGCTTGTGTTATGGATACTAGACAACTGATATTAATACTTAGATTTTTTTATACTTCAATAAAATACATAGAAAACATCTAGACCGATACAAATAGTCATACTCATGAATATAAATATTTGCACGGTGCGAGGACCATCGGAAGTAAAACGGTGTGATAAACCACAAGACCACCGAGGCAGTCAGAAAACGCTGGTTTTATTATTCATATTAATTATTGGTATAATGCGTATAATTGGCTAAAAACGATAATGTAAAAAAAGTAGTGTTAAACCATTCATTACTATACATCAACTGGCTACAATTATGTGCTAATAAACTCGGATGTGTACAATATTCATGAGCAACAAATATCTGCAAAAACAAATTTATGATGCAGACAGATAATTAAATAATGTAAAGAAAAATAGTTATTAATATTAATGCAATGTAATGTATGTTTATATAATATGCTATAATATCATGCCAGGTAAACATACATTTTTACTAAGTATTTCATTATGGAATCTTATTAAAAAAATTGCAATTTTTTTTTATAGAAATTTAAAGAAACTACGTGACTACTATGGATATACAGTGCCTTTAGCACTGTCATTTATTGACGCAATGGTGTACGCCACTCTTGTCTATGAGTAATGGGAACAAATAAGACAATTGCTAACAATGTAGTGTCAGGTCGACTTCCACGTGGTTCCCTCTGGAAATTGTAATAATAAATTCATGGTGAATTTACAACGATCGGCTAACAGGCGTGCACCATTCTATTATGGTCCATTGACAGCCCATATTTTTATTCTCGGATTAATTTAAGGTTCGTTATTGATCTATCCTTCATAATATGTAATGTCAGCCCGGTTTGATCTGATGATGATGCTTTCATTAATGTTAGAAATAAAAACATACCTCGCCTCCTTAGGATGTGGGTGATGAAGACCGTTGCGCGTGCGCTGCTCGGTGTCAGGCTGCACTACGGCCGCCAGCTTGTAGTACCCAAGTCGGGCGAGCTGCAGGACAATGTAAAAACACCCTTATAAACGTTGTTCTAATACAAATAATAGTAATAAATACCCTTGAACAACTTGTACTCGCAAACTAAGCAGAGCCAGTACTATGGTTACTAAATAAATTGTCTGTGCGTTTATGGGTGCTTAACCGATTTGGGTGCGATTTTCACTAATGCATTGTGGTAAGATTTAGTTCAAACATATTTATTATAATTGGTTTACAAACCAAAAAGTTGTAAACTATTGTTACTTTTGAATGCGGTATTCCAAGAATACGATGCCGTAGGCTCACGTGGTACATTATAAAAATATATAAATACCGAGACTGATACAAAGAGATACACATTTTTTTCAATAATGCATGGATCGAACTAGCGATCATCAAAAAGAAAAGTAGAGTGCAAAACTGTTATACTACCGAAATAATCCATTATTAAAGAAATACAGTACCAAACAAGACAATTAAATATGATAAATTGTGTTTAAATTTAGTAGATAATGAAAACAAACGTTTAGGGCTGTGTTTTCTTTATGTATCTCTTCATTAAATGAGAGTAATGAGAACGAATGGCCGACTGAGGGCATACATGTTTATTTTCTTAAGCAAATTTAAATTTATACACTTAATTTTCTTGCTTAGACACTGAAAGTACAGGCTAATACCTTTTAACGTGATTTTATAAATTAACTTGCTATTACCCGCCACTTTGTCTGCTTTTTTTAGATTAATAGTTATTAGCATTCTCATAAAAAATCTGATTTCGTGTCAGATTTCACTGAGAATCATCGTTCAGATGTTTCATTGTAAATGGTAAAAATCAGACAGATACATATTAGATTTATATAAAAGCTGTTAACATTTACAACAGATACTCTTTTTTAGATAAAATATAGCCTGTCTGCTTTCCACAAATCTATAAATCTCCAAGTCCCACATTACTATAGGATCAGAACTTTAGTAATAAAAGGGAGTTAAGCAGACAGACAGACAGATAGTTTTTTATTACAATATTATTATGGTCAATTTTGATTTTCATGTAGGTATAAGTTTAGTACCTAAACCTATACCTTCATAATGTACATAAATATATACATTTGAATCCTGGCTTTGATAAACAAATATGCAATGTCAGCATTTTTTAATGACTTGATTTTAAAATGATACTTTCAGCCATCAGCCACCGACCCCAAATGAAAGGGATAAAGAAGCAGATGGCGATAATGATAATGATGACATCCTATCATCAGTCATTACAATTACTTAACATTCATATCACATTGGCAGAAATTACTGACATCATGGATAACCATAAACATCATCAGTGACGTTATTTTAGAACAATACAATACATCAATTTTAATTACTAATTGAATACCATATCTCGTATAATCACGACCATACGTAAGCATTAATTTTATTAATATATGATAAAATTAAAAATCATGACGTCTGTTTCTCTATTAAAGATTCACGAAAAACCGCTGGAGGAATTAGAATATTTTCTTTCACAGAATTCTTTGTTAAATATACGTCAAAGAAATCATTAAAAAAAGCAGACACATCCTATTTTTTTTATTATTTTCAATCTTGTATTAACAATTAAGAAACTATTACATTGTGTTACTTTTTTTTATTAACTTTAAGTCATCTAGTATTGTTAATTAATTTATAAAATATTAGATTGCATTGCACAAATGTTTTATTTATTTTTGCAGTTTGATTATCGTCAATAAATTGCGTCCACTCGTGTATACCTATGTCAATACCAATTTATGACACAAGGGTAGACAAACTGTAGGGTGTATTGTTAAACAAATTACATTTAAATTACTATCAAAACCTAACACAGACTCAACATTTATCTCTCATTTAGAAGAAGTTATATTTTTGCTGACAAGAGTCTGACGCCTCTATTTCAGCTAATACCCGTGGATTCGTACTTTTTTTTCTGATAACAGTTCCCCTGTACCTATCTGTCCTCCTAATACCATATCTGTTCACATCTCTCGTGAAGATCCGGTCAGTCGTTTAGACTAGAAGAGATAACAAACAGACAGACAATAACAGTTTCATATTTATAATATTAGTATGCATTTTGTACACACAAATGCTTACGATCCTAATGTATTCGATACCGTATATACATCAAATTGGTAGTTTTAAATGTAGCTGATAACGTTACTACGCAAAATTCGTGACAAGCATAATTTTTACGTATGGATGTGTAGTGTATAACTATTCACACATCTAATATAAAATTACACATGCATAAAAATATTGTGTATGTAAATCAGGCGTGAAGTTTGTTAGCTGTGGAACGGTGCTAATAATGTCAACGTTAAAAGTGCTTAAATTCCATTTCTTCCTACTCGCGAGTAATTCCAATTAATGTTAAAACGCTAAAATATTATAAGATAGACGACATAAAGTTTTTGTCTATCAATTGAGAGGAACTACTTGTTTATTATACGTTTCGTTTATACTACATGATACAGCAAAGACGTCCTGAACTTTAGGGATATCAGGACCTGATGTTACACTTTACGCAATTTACAAACATAATTATGTGTTTATATCGCTCTCGCTGTACAGTTCTCATTTAAATAAAATTACGGCACAGAAACTGTATTCATAAAGACATGGAACTTCTATTGTTTATTTTACCCGTCAGTCCTATGTATTACAGGGTAGAGAGGCATGGCACCTTAGTCTTCCAGAATTACAACGCATGTGAGGGACAGTGTACTGCGGCCGTCATTTGATGTTATAAGCAATGGTTACGGTCAGCCCATCAAAATGGTAACCACACCGTTTTTACATTATTATACATAATGTACCTGTGTAAATATACAACCTCCATCCACTCACGCGAAACTAAGGCGGATCGCCAATATCAACATATAACAAATTTTATATGAAGGCCTTCTATATATAAATTACAGGCAATATCTAAAACCTCTAAATTTTTAATTTGTGTACTAACTATTGTCGACAATGAAAAATTCACTTTTGATTATACAAACATCATTATAAAAACAAATATGTTTTATGTTATAATCATTCACGGTAGGTACTCACATAAATTAACACTGAACACAATTTAATAACGATCACATATAATATCAGGAAATGCTGTGAAACAATCACAAGCGGCAATGTGTGCGTGTGTGTGTTTATTTTAACACTGAGTGAAATAATTCTGCCATCACGCCACCACAAAATTTCACTTTCGAGCTCTCACTCGCTATCAGTTGAGGTCGTACCGGCGGTGTTGAAGAGGTGGAAACGAAAGTGAGACTGGTCTAATCATAAAACTCAATTGCGTAATATTGTTTTATTATACAATAGGCCCTTCAAATTTTCATATATCAGACTCTGACTTTCACTAATTTACACTAATAATAGATACATAGAGAAAAATTAAATTTCACGCCGTGTTTATAACGTATACATTTGGAAATTACTAAATCGATTCTTAAAATACTAGTAAATATGTGAGTAATATTTCCTGGATTTTATTTAAAATAATAAATATTCTTATCTATTATATCACTTATTAGTGTTATATCTATGTCGAAATATACTTAGTTAAAATTTCAGATATAAACTTAATAATTGTGTTACATTATCAGTCGTTACGCCAGCTCCCTAATGGGGCAGAGAAAAAACCAAGTTAATTGGAATATATTTCCCATACAGATATATGTATGTACCACTACCATTTACGATCGTAAGCTATAGCTACGAGTGAGTGCACATTATAGCGTGTTTCAAATTGGTACTACATGAATATCAAATATGTACAATTAATGGTATTATGTAGAATATTGTTAGGTTTCAAGATTCAGGTCCTGAAAGCCAATTATTTTTTGTAGTCTATTAAAAGAAGAACTGCAAAGATGTCGATATTTTAAAAAATGAAACGACTATTTATATAGTTTGTTTTATTTTATTTCTATGTTGTATCGTATCGCTTCTCGAGAAACATTGCGTTGGACCATTAGACAAAGCTAAGTAGATACTTTAATTTATTCAACTTTCTATCAATTTATTAATAACCGCAATCAGGTTCTGCAGCCGTGAACATATATGTATATTATTTATTAATGATTGAAGTCATACATACTAAATCTACTTTCTTTTGAAATATTAATGAATAAATGATTGATTGGGTATTTATTTGACTAACATTACGCCCACCTTGGCTCATGGCATTGGAACCGGAGTATTTTGATGACAGTCATGAAAAATCATAACATTATGGTTCTAAATACATATATAGTTACATATATTTACACATTATATTCGGTAAACAATAAAATAAACATACGTAATTTAAAAAGTAATACGATTTTATCATGCTTATATTGGAAGTCTACGTGTATATATCGTAAGTATTACGTAGTGTCGATGAAAGTAATACGTAGATAATGTCGTCTACTAGCAAAATGATTAGAGCTCTGATAAAGCGCTTCCATGTGACATTTTTAATCTTGTGGCTTCCGTCCAAAACATAGAGTGATAATACCTAAAGTCAACCTGCGTCAAAGCATAGACATCTTGAATTAACAGCGAATCATTTTAAAACCAATACGACAGATTTAAGTATATTTTTAGCTTTATAAAGCGTGGTCCTTAGACTTGCTTTAATAAAATGAATGATTAAAATACTAGCCCGCGACTTCGTACCCGTATTCTTTTAAACCGATTGGAATTAAAATGAAGTTTACTACAATACATTGGTAAAACCAGCACACATATCGGTTAAGCTGTTTCTGAGATTAGATCGCACTGGCAGACGAAGATTCATAATATTTGCGTTTTTGGTTCTGTTACTTTGATAAAGTATTTTTTTTCTCATATATTTATGGTAGATATATGAGACAGGGCACAGTAGTGAGGCACACAGCAGAGACAGCGATCAGTAACATTTTTACTATATTTACTATGTATTTTATTATTTGTAGGATATGTAATAATTTGTACTATTACGTTAGGGTTTCTTTCAGACTTAGTGTCAACTTTTAATGATGAGCTCTGTACATCGACAGTAATCGACACGTCTATGCCCAATTTTGTACTAAATCAGAAATTGTTGTAGCTACTTCCAATAAATTACAACAATACAACCGTCATTACTCATTATATTACCTATTAAAAAAAAATAGATATCACTTAATGTTATAGTTATCTAGAATTTACTGATTTCCACCGTGCCCTACGTTTTTAACATCATAAAAAAGATTTTGTTGTGTTGTTGTTCATGACTTACTTACAAGTGAAATATTAAAAAAAACGCTTAATGTAAAAGAAAAGTAATAATATTGACAATAATTAACTAAATAATGGTACTCATTAAATAATGGTAATCATTAATTAATCTATATTTATAATGCAAATAAATTATTATTATAAAGTAATCTGACTATAGTCAGTCAGATTATTTTATACTAATAATTTATTTGCATTATAAATATAGATGTAGCATACATATTTAAGTATATACATACATACTTAGATTGTTACTAGAATATAAACTCTAGATAATGATAATAATGGGCGAAAATATCAGTAATAAGCCAATTGTTTCATGTGCCAAGATTTCCGAGTTCAAATAAGATTTTCTGTATACTGCATTTAAAAGAACTAGGTACGATACAGCACATAAAATTAAGTCAAATCAAATATCATGTATTCATGTAGAACATTTTAGCCACTTATAAACGTCAAGTTTTTTGTTTTAATATTTTTTCCTACCATCCAGTTCAGTATACAGATTCAATTGAGAGATTGTAACTTTTAACTTAAAATTATTTTCCGATATTGCAGAACGTTAAAAATTGTTATGGGAGCAAACAAGAACCCGTATTTCTTAAGTTACCACTTAATATATGTATCTAATCTAGTAGCATAACATTTTAATGAACACAATAAGTGAGCCACTGTACACTGGGAAATGACTTGTAGCAGACGCGATGGCGTGAACAGTGCGTCGTCAATTGTTCTGGCGAAATTCCAGAAGTTGAGAACAGTTGGATAAATAAACTCATAAATCAATTTTTTATGTATAGAAACAAAACGGGTGTTTTCAAATGTTATTGTTCCACAACAGATGCAATACTCTGTTAATTATTTCTTTAGTCACAGTTAAATTTTTTCTAAATTTTTTCTCTAGAGATAAGATTTCAGAACAAATAATTCTTGAATACAACCATCTGAGAGCTTAGATAAACTCTTTTCAAGTTGATATAGTCCAGTTCAATGACAGCCAATCAGACTCTGTATATATACCATCAACCATGGATCTACACTTTGAAACCAGTACTGTGTAGACTAATAACAGTCTGATATTTCTACTCACATCACATGTTCCTTCGCCACTACTGTGGCACTAAATTTTATATTTTATGTATATTAATAGGCATTAAACATTACAAATATTAATTCAACAGTACAGGGTGAGTACTTACTGTTTCTTAAAACTGTAGAATAGTTTATAATCCCCCTTAAAATTGTTTTTGAATTATCTAAATATTTCTATTTAGGACACAATTCATAATTTTAAAATTTGATTATCCAGGTACAGAAAGTAGATAATAGTAATGTGCTACATAAAAAAATAAGCAGTATTTCTACAATACATATAGGAATATAGATAAATATATACTGATGTTTCATAATAAGCACAAGCATAAACTGCTTCAACTAGTTTAAATATTTACAAAATTCACCAGGTAGGTGGGCACATTATTGACTTATTAAACAATAAAATCACTAGTGCATAACACAACTTCATACAAAACAAAAAAATTAATTAAATAAGCATCACAGTACAGGACCGCAAAAAAGAAAAGCTCAAACACAAACAGCTTTATACCAGCTCATTTTTGTTTCCAGTGGAACGCTGACCCCTTTTCCTGCATTCTGCTCGAAGCTGTTCCTTATTCATAGCCGCCAAGGCTTCCGAGCTCAAGTTATGGCGTGTTCTTCCATTCTCACTAATAGAGTTCTGCCTCGGTATAGCAACTGATGTTGCCTGATTACGTGTACGTCTTGACCCTGCCATATTTGTCTATTCTTCAATTAAATATACTGTTTGTATTATCTTTTCTTTATGATATAATATTTTCAAACTCCACATAAGTCTTCAGAATTTATTACTATTCCCATAGTTTCTTCCAAGCCTTGTAGATTGTAGAAAATCGGTCAAATAATAAATACAAACATTTAAATATATACATCAGTCATATAATAAATATACAAGATAAATATAGTAAATATGTTTAAATTAATACACTTATTTTTAGAAACGGTAATAATGAATATACTTTCTACATCACATTGAAATAGCTATATTCTAATTAAGATGAAAGAAAAAAAGTTTGGAAGTTTTCATGAAGGATGTAGTTTTTTTTTAAGAAATAAACAATAAAGTAAGAAATATAGAATAACAATTTAACATGTCTGCTAAGAATTTACGTGAACTTAACAGATGAATGATTATCATCGTAAACGAAAATATTGATTATTTTATGCTCATTGAAGTGTAACATTAGGTTGTGTCAGTGAGTTTTGATCGTACCGAGTATGTATACCAGCACATTCATAAAATAAAAAAGCCTTCAACAGCCCCTAGTAAAATAAGCATTAATTAATAAAATGGAAAATTATTGGGGACAGTCAGCGTTCAGCATATTAATATATGTAAGTTCTAACCTAACATAACAATTATGGATATAAAAAAATATAGACTTACATTCCGGAAATATCCAAAACTTGTACCTTAAACTATATGAGCCTTGGATTTTTCAAACAAAATAACTTAGAAACTACAAAGAAAATAAAATTAATTCTATAGATATACAACACTAAACATTATATCAGCGAAATTGAAGTTGTACTGAAAAATGTTGCCAATTATTAGAATCACAAACTCTACTTTGTATCGCAACGTTCCATAAATGTTTTTAACGTAATTTTCCTAAATGGAATAGATTTTTGAAGATCCAAGATTACTATTAGTCCACCATAAATTTATTACTGTTCTATATATTATATACATAGTAAGGTAATGTTTATTATTTACAATATTTTTTAAAGATTTAGTAAACATTTTCAGACTGCTATTAAGTAAGGGTAAATTGAGAAAAGCCAAATGGCAACAATAAAAGTATATTTACTGACGTGTACAGTGCGTGTAACCAATAGGGAAGCTCACATAGACCAAGGGTAAGGTGGCGCCACCACATTGTAATTTAAATGTCTGTACCACTCTGTACATTACCGATAAGAGACAAGAGTTGACGAATCATGTGTCTGACATTGTTCGATTTACGGTAATTACTGAATTTTATTAATTGTTTTTATTAATCATTTGAACGACGTTGTTCATGATGTTATTAACACAGTAAATAAAATAAAATAAAAAGCCCTTTATTTCCTAAAATGACAAGAATATTACATGCACTTACTAACTATTTATAAACATATGTTATTGATCTTTTTACATATTCTCTTTGTTATTTATTATATTATATTATTATTATTTTTTTATTATATTATTTTATCTACATTCAATATATTATTATTAGCATGCAATAACAATAAACATTTCATTTCTTTAATATTATATTTTTTTTATTTAGGTATCCATTTAAGGATATAGGCCTCTTCCAACCTTTTCCACTTTTCTCTGTCTTTAGCCAGTCTCGTCCAAGTGGGCCCCGCTACGTCAATGATGTCATCGCTCCAACGCTTTTTAGGTCTTCCGCGTGGTCTTGTTGTGTTTCGTGGGTACCAATATAACATTTTTTCGCTCCATCTCCCATCCGTTGTCCTTGCCAAGTGGCCTGCCCACCTCCATTTCAATCTACAGGCCAGCTCCGCAGCATCAATGATATTTGTAATTTTTCGTATATCTTTATTTCTTTTTCTATCTATAAGTTTCAGTCCTATCATGCTTCTCTCTGCAGCTCGTTGAAACACTTGAATCTTATTTATGATATCCTTTGTTAGTGCCCAACTTTGACATCCATACAACAATGTCGGGAGAATTACTGTGTCCATTGCTTTCTTTTTTAGCCTAATAGGTAAAGTTGATTTAAAAATTTCTTTCAAGGACCAGTATTTACACCAAGCTTTTTTTATTCTGCATTGTACTTTTGTGTTGAGCGGTGTTGCAAAAGACATGTTAATTCCTAGGTATGTATATTCATCGACATAATCAATACTTTGTGTCTCAATACTTATAGGAATTTTTTTCGCTATTTGTCATTGCAAACGTCTTTGAAAAGTTCATTTTCAAACCACATTTCTGGCTTTCTTTATCTAGCGTCGTGAGCATGTGTTCGACATCTTTATGCTTTTCAGAAATTAATACAATATCATCGGCAAAACGCAAATGATTCAAGTACTCTCCGTTAATTTTAACTCCCAAATTATCCCAATTCAGTTGTTTAAATATATATTCTAGTAATGCAATGAAAAGTTTAGGAGAAATAGGATCTCCCTGACGTACTCCTCTTTTTATGTCGAATGGTTTTCCTTCACGTTCTAGTTTTACTACAGCTGTGCAGTTTTTATATATTGTTTTCAGTATTTCTATATACTTTTCATCTATTTCTTGTTCTTGCAATGCTTTCCAAAGCGGTTCATGTAAAATTGAATCGAAAGCTTTTGCATAATCCACGAATACAACATATAAATCTTTTCCATATTCCACGTATTTTTCTATTAGTTGAGTCAATGTAAAAATATGATCTGTTGTGGAATAACCAGCTCTAAATCCAGCTTGTTCCCTTGGTTGGTTTCTTTCCAATGACTTTGTTATTCTGTTTAGCAACAAAGTTGTGAAAATTTTGTAAATTACTTGTTGTAAGTTAATTGGTCTATAATTTTCTATATTAGCTGAATCTCCTTTTTTATAAAGTAAAGTTATGATTGACGTGTACCAATCCTTTGGAATTTCATTTGATAGTAAAATTTCATTAAATAGTTCAGTTAAGTATGGCGTGAGAGGGTCAATTAATGCTTTAATTAATTCATTTGTTATTCCATCGTTTCCAGGGCTTTTCAATGGCTTTAACCGTTTAATTACCCATCTTATTTCTGTTTCCAAAAACGGTAGAATAGTTTTTTGGTTTTGACTGCTCATTGTAATCAATTTTGTTCGTTGTTGTTTAGCATCTTGATATAGTGTACTATAAAAATCTGAAGCTATTTTCACCAATTCTTCTCTATTTGTTTTAATATTACTTTGTTTTTTAAGTCCTGTAACCCATATTTTTTGATTGTTTAATCTTCTATATGCTCTTTTTATTGAAGCGCTTTTATTTAATTCTTCTTCAATTACTTGATATCTATTTTTCTTTATGCGTAGTTTTAATTGTTTTTTTATTAGTTTATACAATGCTGTTAACTTTTGTTTTTCTGTTCTGTTTTTGTTTCTTTTGTTCTTTAATGTATTTCTTTCCGTTATTAGTTTATTAATATATGAATTTAGTATTATTGTTTTGTTCTTATTTCTCTGAGTAGATAGTATACGACTTGAACATTTTATTTTATTTATTAGATTATGATAAGATTCTTGTATGTTTTCAAATCTATAAGTTTTCATATCTAATGTAAATATATTTTTTAGATATTCTTGTTCCTTACTATTATATTCACGTGTTTTACTTCTAATATGCTTTCGTGACATTTTATTTTTAGTTACTATAAGTTTAGCTCTTACAAGTCTATGGTCAGTAGGAAACGTTGTACCTATAACTTGTATATCTTGTATTAGTTTCTTATTTTTAACCATTATGAAATCTATTTCATTTCGTGTCTTACAATCAGGAGATATCCAAGTCCATCGCATTTTTATATTCTTTTTGAAGTAACTGTTCATAATGGACATGCCATTCTCGATGCAAAAATCTACAAGTGTCTGCCCCCTTCCGTTTCTTTTACCAAAGTTCCAAATGCCCATGACATTTTGCTCATCCTTCTTTCTAGCTCCTATTTTTGCGTTAAAATCCCCCATTACTATTACATCTTTGCCAGTATACTCTAAAGCTTCTCGTAACTTTTGGTAAAAATATTCCATCTCCTCATCCTTGGACCGCTCAGTAGGAGCATAGCATTGTATAATATTAATTTTCTTATTAGTGAGCATGATATCTAAACGTATTATCCTGTCAGAAATATGTAAAATATCCAAAATATTAGCTTTTAGATCTTTTTTAATAATAAAACCTACGCCATTTTTGCCACTTTTTTCTCCACTATGCGTAAATATATATTTTTCGTTTTCAATTATGTTCTTTCCATCTTTTTTAACTTCTGCTAGACCAATTATGTCCCATTTAAATTTATCCAAAATGTGATCAAATTCTAATTGTCTTACTTCAGTGACTAAAGATCTTACATTATATGTACATATATTAAAACATATATCTTTTCTATTTATATTTCTATTTTTAATTATATTCTGTTCTGTATTTTTATGTTTAAGTTCATAATCAGTTACATTATCATTACTAGTATTATTTTCAAAATTGTTACTTTTCTTAAGGTTGGAAGATTTTGGTCTACTATTCCCACGGGGACCAGCCGTATTGGGAAAGCGTATAGTATTTTTGTTTTTATAAGTGTATTTTTGTGTTTCGGTTGGAGAAGGCGCTGCTTGTTGCTATGTTTCTATATCCCTGTCAGAGTCCTGTGAATCTGTAGCTTGTTGTCTTTTTCTGCTTTGACATGATATATATTGAGTGATATTTCTATTTACATTTGTTGCTTTATGTTTTTTAGCCATTCTATGTATCATTACTTCTGTACTTTTATTATAGCTAGTAGCATAAGCTGATGGATCTAATGTTCGCTTTTTGCTTTGATTTTGAGTCGATACCGTGTCATGAGTGTTGTCTTTATTAGGTAGGATAATCAATTTATTATATTTAATAATAGCTTTATTTCCTTTTTCTAATTCACATCTCAAATCTTCCTGTAATCTTTTTCTCTCATTTAAAATTTTTTTCGGAAAATCTTCCTTTACGTATATAGTTGTACTGACCAGTTTAGATTTATTTTTTAATATTTGAATCTTTTTTCCCAATGTGGTTAAGCTAATGTTAATTGGTCTAATTTTATTTTCTCCTTTTTTACCAATGCGTCTTACATATTGAACTTCATCTCTCGTACAAATTATGTTCATATCATCATTTATAACATTTAGTATAGTATCCTCTAGTTCCGTATATGATCGTTCTTTTTCTTCAATACCAAAGAAAACAAGATTTCGAAGCCTTATATCTCTCTCTAATTGATCTATTCGTGTTTCTTGGTTTAACACAGTAGGCTAGAGAAAATATATGGAATAGGTCATATTACATAAATTAAGATTTCAAAAACATCAATATACATTTCTATAGAAACAATACAAAATTTTCCACCTAAGCTATGATCCTTAATATGACTTTCCAGAAAAGAATATACTGCAGTGGACTCACTTTGGAAATGAGCCTATTGTTGCGGCACGCACGAGCCGTCCAAATTCAATCGATAATATGAGCCTCTTAACAAAATGGCATTTTGTTAACCGTCAGTGAACTGTCAATCATTCAATATTGATTGATAGTGCACTGAGGTGTAGAGAAAGAGAGAGAGAGCAATTTATTTATTTATCCTTAATAAAGACATAGTTTTTTTTCCCTCGTTTTTTATTTTAATTCGTGTATCTTTTACAATTAAGAAAAAAAACTAATATTGTAATTAAATCATTACAATTTTACAATATTATATTATTACAACATTATATTATTATTGTTATAAAAATATTTGTTTACATTAATGACAATTTATTCTTTAAATCCCATGTATAAGACACGTAGAAAACTTTAGATTAAAGTACTAATTATTTCTACAAAAGGTCTATAATTTTATTTGCATTTTTACTTACCTTTAAAGTTTATGATGGAAGACAATATAAATGATTATATGCCATCTATTTTAAATCCTAGACTTGTCAGAAGACAGACAGCAGATCCAAGTATAACACAGGTATGTATTTCATTAAAAATATAAGAGAAACTTTCTTTTAATGTGAGAGCTGAATTAAATATTAAAGTAGAAGTATTATGCTTTCTTTTTAATTGGTACAAAGTTGCCATTTTTGTCAGCCTTTATTAAGAAAGACAGTCCTTTTAAAATGTTTTGATCCTATTCTGGAGAGACCAGAATCTCAATTTTGACTATATTAATTGTTTATATATATGTACTTATAGGTTAAATGAATAATTGTTAAGTAACATATAATTTCTTTTACATGTTATTCTTATAATTTGTGTTATCAATGATAAGTTGATTTATATGTATGATAACATTTAACACCATGTTACCCAGATTTATATTAACTATACAATAGATATGACTGTTTCAAAAAGCCAATATTTAATGCAGTACTAAATTACAGTTATACTTTGCAAGGATATCAATAACTTATTCTATATTTACCTATGTTTTTATAGATGGTAAATATTTTGAAATGTTAGAATATGTCTATAAATCAATGTATTTAAAATAACTGTGTATTGAAATTAAGGGTATACTACTAATTATTTATTTTCAATTTTCTAGAATTCTATAGCCAGCCGCTGTTCATTGTCATTGAAGAGGAATAAACAACCTACAATATGGAAAGACCAAATTTACAAGGTGAATAATAATTCTAATAGATTTTAAATCAATATTAAGTCACTATGTGTATAATTTTAAATTATTTGAACAGTTATAATGTATATAAGTTACAAAGAAATTTCTCATATTTAAAGGTAACAGACATACAGATATTATTTGCATTTAAGTATAATATTTATATGACTAAGTAGTTTGAACAACTGACTGTAAATGTGAAAGTAAATAGGTATGTTTTAATATTTTAATTGTCAATTATTATTAGTATGAAATAAACAATCAGTAAATATTGTGTTTGCATGTTCATATGTTTTCAATTTGTTAATGAATTAGGTATAGTTTATAATAATAATAATTTTGGTTTACAGTCCTTACCAAACAACAAAGAAAATTCACAAAATGTACAAAATTTTACTGGCCATTCAGAAAAAAGTACAGCCAATAAGGAAAATGGATGCAATAGTAAGGAATTTGAAGATTTTGAAAGTATAGGTGTATCAGCTATTCAAGATATAAACACAAAAAACAATATTAGTGATTCAAGTACTGTAAGATTAAGTAATAATGTACTAGTTTCAAATGTTATTCATAAAGAAACAAATGAAGAATATATTTGTTCAGTTACTTCAGCAAATGAATTAATAGAATGTGATTCAAGGACAGAAAGTAGTAGAACTGTATCATATGAATTTGACAAACCTGTTGTTAATGTTTCATTTGGTATAACAAACTGCAAATGTGTTGATGTCAGTACACATCATAGTAGTATCAAGAGAATTGTGGTATCACATGATAATAATGATACTACAGTTGATTGTAAAGTTATTGAAAGTAGTCAATTATCAGTTGATACTGAAATGGATGAAAATATGCATGAAGCTGTTTTGCCTAGTCCACCAAAAAAGTCAGCTATAACTGTCAACTTAGACATTAAAAAGAATAAACTGTCACATGACACAGCAGTGAACTCAAAAGTTCTTATTTTAAATACTGATGCCATTGAGAAACTTTCTCATGTCATTGTGCAACCACCAAATTATAAATTTGTGAAACGAAAAATTTTGAACCCTTCTAAATTTCGAAGCAGCGACAATAGAAAATCTTGTTTTAGGTCTTCTATACAGAATGGAAAAACTGTGTGCATTGATAATCTGAAATATACAACTATTGATTCCCATCTAAATAAAACAAATGTTTTGAATTCCTGCAAAATATCTAAAAGTACAATTCCTTCAAAAACCTTAAATTGTAATGATAATAGTGCCAGTTTAGTTAGTGATGAGGTGCAGGACATGAGCAAGATTCTAGGTGCTCCTGAAACTCTTAAATTTGATGGTGGAAGATCTGCTAAAAGCAGGAAAGACAATGCATCTCCTAGATCTGTTAGAGTAGCACTTTCTCGAAGAGGAAATGAATCTTCCAAGCAACAGGACATTAAAACATGTAATTCTAATGCTCCGCGTGTGCCGACACCCAGAGGAAGAGACAGTGTTAGTTCACATTCTCCCAAAAAAACTACAGACTATATACAATTCAGTTTATCTTCAAAACCAAAATCTAATAGATCATCAGTGGTTTTGAAAAATATTCCACACCATAAAATTGTTGCAGGTAATATAATTATTTTTAATTATTAAATTGAAACTTTACCATAAAATTTATTAACAAGCACATATTATTCAAATATTATAAAAAATCCATCTTTCATCCAACTTTTTGTTTTCATAGTATTCCTTTATGTTATGGTATGAATAATATACATAAGATAACATATAGGAATACTACACATTGTATTGAGCGAAATAAATAGGTGTTTTTGGCAATACGATAAATACAAACAGATAAAACAATTCTAAATAACAAAATAATCACTACAAGATTTGTAATGCTGATTTATTATTAATAGAATGGTGTTAATGTACAAACTTGCTTTTCAGGTACACATTTTGCAGTAGATGCCTTTTCTTATGGAGAAATACCTAATGTTAAACATTATTTTTTGACTCACTTCCATTCTGATCATTATTCGGGTCTGAAGAAAAGTTTTAATAAATTATTGTTCTGTTCTAAAATAACTGGTAAGTTTTATTACAACTTTAGCAGTATCCTCGACTCCGTACGAAATACAACTAAAACTATAAGTAAAATATCTATACGACCTATATGACCTACGTGAAACATTTGCATACAAAGAGATACAGTTTATACCTCGTAACTATTTTATGACTATATAATATTTCGATATTGGTACAATATAGCTATAGCGGTATTATAAAATGAGTCATAAAGCTTTCTCGTCATATTTACCTGTTTATTATAGCATCCCTCTCCAAGAGATAATACTTCTAGATGCTTTATTATTAGTTAAATCCTGATTTACCGGTATTGCTTGGCTATTTTATGCGCAAGATATTTTGCCGTAGACCAACATGATTTTTTATTTATTTCTGTTACTTTTACAGCGGATTTGTGTATATCACGATTGGGCGTTAACCCAAAATGCATGCATCTTATAAACCCTGATGAAACTATACGCGTGGAAGATATTGAGGTGACAGCTCTAGATGCTAATCAGTAAGTATATATTTTATTTTATAATGATAATGACAGAGGTAGACTTTGTACATTTCCTGTGTCCAGTGGCTTGCATTGTTAGCTGTGATTGGGATTAAATGATGAGATATAGCAGTTAATTACAGAATAAGGAAACCAGAAATCTTAGTTCTCAGAAATGGCAGTGCATTTGGGGCACTGGCAATATAATCTATTTTGAACCTAAGGGGCGGCGAACTTGGGTATCTGGAGGAGGAGGTTAGTAATGGGGACTAGTGACCCTACTGCTAGCAATGTTTAATGTTAGGATGACCTCCACGCGGTTTCCGCTGGAACCATCGTGTTTCATTTCGTATGAATTTGTTAAGATAGGCTAACTGATCTGACTTTATCCTCATCCTTATCACCATTGGTGCGTAGCAACTAATATATAGCGTTGGCGCAAGCGAGTGCCCCATACAACATATTCATTCACAAAGAACATGGTAGGAATTAAAAAATATATCGACCTACTGGTCAATATTTTCCTTAACTATGATGGAAAGGCTAATATATACTAATTTTATATATACAATTACAGCTGTCCTGGAGCTTTAATGTTAGTGTTCACACTACCAAATGGGAAGACTTTATTACACTGTGGAGATTTTAGGGCATGTCCATCTATGGAGTCCTATCCTATATTTTGGAATAAAGACATTCACACGATTTATTTAGATACCACGTGAGTATACATCTATTTGGAAGAAAAATATTCTCCTTAGCTTAATAATATCCTACCTAACAATAATACTTATTGTTCCTTCTTTAGAAATAAGAATGAAAATATTTGTTTATGTTAAATATTTCTTAAGCTGTGGCTAGCTATGTTTTGGAGGCTTAGGCTGAAATGTTAAATTCATATTTAGGCTGTAAAATATATAAAGAGGATCGCTAGGAAGTCGCTTGATGCCTGGCATTGCTAACGCTATGGGGTTGATAGTTCCTATAATTAACAAAGGGTAGTTATATTAATAAATGTTGATTTGATAGTTGCTTGCCTAAGAAAACATAATTTGCAGTTACTGCAACCCGCGGTATAATTTCCCCACACAAGATCAAAGTTTAGAGATGGCTGTAAACTTGTTACGACAGAAGAAATTGGAACTTGAGAAGAATGGAAAGTCATTTTCATCTGTATTAATTGTTTGCGGCACTTATACGATAGGTATTGTTATACTTAATTATAACCCATGAGAATATTGTATGGTGCGTGGTGGTATATCGGTTTACAAAGACATATCAGTGTATAATTCTTTTTACATATTTGGTAAACAATCTTGTCACATATTTGTATCGAAAGACATTGGTTTTAAAATATACAAAAAATAATATTATTCGGAAATTACAAATATTAGTAATACTAAAAAAATTATATAATATAATTAAATAATATTTTAAACAAGCGAAGAAACTATTGCGTAAATATTTATATGTATGCAAATAGGGAGATATAATTATATGAATAGTTATGCCACTGGCCACTTGGCAAAGTATAAATAATTAATAACAATTGGTAGCACCATAAATGATAACTCAGATGTACCTATAATGTAATAAATAATAAATCCCTTTACAAAGTCTGAAAACTTTTGTATGAAAATTATACGAAGTTGTTGTATCTAATTACTAAAATTTTCGGTATTGCGCGAATTCAGATTTAATTATTTTAAATTTAATTATTTCAATTCTCATTGTGATGTAACAAATAAATGTGTCAAATACTGTTATTTTTCCTAATATTTGCTACTTTTTTTTTAGGCAAAGAAAAGTTCTTCCTGGGCATGGCGAAGCGAGTAGGTTGTTCCGTGTGGGCATTCCCCGAGAAGGACCGGGTGTTACAAGCTGTGGAAGGGCGGAGTTTCAGTCAAGCATCTCCACAGTCCTGCCAGCTACATGTTTTAGCTATGCGGGATTTGACACATGAGGTATCGTTGATTTGTATTATGCAATTTTTTTTATTTATTCTTACTCTTTAGGTACACTAAAGAGTAAGAATAAATAAAAAAAAATTTAAGGTTAAAACAGTACAAAAAAAACCACAATAAATGGGGTAGGTATGTAGGTACGAAAGGCGGTCTTATCGCTCTTCCAGACAACTTTTAGGTACACGAGACGGCTATGTATAACATTAAAAAATATTAATAGAGATTATTTAAGTAATGTAAGATGAAATAAATACATAAAATTAACTGAGTGCAATTATCATTTTTACTAAAGTGGTCTTTAAAGTCATATGGGTCGTAGCGTGTAGCGTGCTTTGTAAACTGTGTTCCAGTTGTAGAGAGGTGAAATAACAGAGTACAACGACAGCCGAAAGTATTGAGTATTCGATACTTATAAAACGTTTGTCATGACTATAAACAAATAGACGAAATGAATTAGTTTAGGAAGCTAAACTTTGGATAAAGTTTACTTTTACAATGTAAACGAATTCTAGGGATGCAATTTTAAGGGGGTCTTCCTATGTGATGGGTTGAAAAAATCGATTTTTTTTTTTCATAAATTGCTCCCTTAACATGTCTAGAATACGGTAGTAAAGCGATTTTAGAAAATTCGAAGTCGTTTTAAAGATACAGCAGGTAAAAGAAAGAGCGGTTCGGAGCGGTGAGTTGGCAGTTAGAGACCGGGCCTATTGTGTACCGTCGGCTTTATACCTGGCCTCCCTTTTATTAATATATTTGTTTATACAAGTTTAGACACGTTTCTACAGACTTAAACAGAAAAGGAGCAGGTAAACTTACTGATAAAGTTATCCAAGAAATTACAAAATTCTACGGATTAGCAATTCGACGCCATCCAGATTCGCTTGAAGATATGAGAAAGGAAGTTTGGGCAACGTACTATCACAAATGTTCTTCTGATGAAAACCCTCAGCATCAATTTTGTCCAGAAGGCGAAGACAGTTGGTGTAAATGGCGTAAGGCTGAAGCTAATAATGAACTGGACCAATTTCATCACGATAAACCACCTCTAATTCCGCAAGTCCAAGAAGCTATCAAACCGGTTTTCGAAGATTTATCGAAAGACGAATTATTAATTCGTTGTTTAGGAGCAGAGACACAAAACAATAACGAATCTTTGAATTCTTTGATTTGGACTTTCGCTCCTAAACATCTTCATTCTGGTCCCAAAGTTGTTGAAATTGCTAGCTACTTAGCAGTTATTATCTTTAATGAAGGTTTTCAAGGTATTTTAAAAGTTATGTCGATTATGGGATGCCCTGTTGGTCGTGAAGCCCAAGCGTATGTTGAGAAACGGGATGAAAAGCGAATCTTACGCTCTGAGCGGCGCGTAAGTGATGTCGTTAAACAAGCCAGGATTGACTCAAGAGCTGAACAATCTGCTTTAAAAGAGTTTCACGAGGAAGAGGAAGGAATACTCTATGGACCAGGCATCGCCGATTGAGAGTAAGTTGATATTTTAATAGTTTTTAACGGACTTGAAACTTTAAACGCGTTTTTCTCAAAACTGTGTTTTTCAAACTTTCCTCCATTGTATCTCAGAAACGGCTGGACCGAATTACTTGAAATTTACAGGGCACACTCAATATATGTAAACGCATGGAATGAACTATTATCAATCGAAAATTTTCAAAACTTTGATTTTTTTATAGCAAAAAACAAAAAGAAAAAACGCCTAATTTGCAACTTTTATTTCAAATGTCTATCAAAAATCCAATTTTTTTTATATTCATTTGATTATAGGTCATTCCGTGCTTTTAAGCCTACAAATTAAAATGCCGTTTTTTTTTTTTTCAGATAAGCCGATCAGCCGGAATCGTGGAGGAAGTGGGAGCTCTTTTTTTCGAGGCGGGGGTGTTCAGAGCGCTGTAACTCTAGTTTGACTGAATATTTTTAGCTGAAATTTTATATTTATACTGTCCAAATATGTGTTAATAAATGATAAAAAACTTGAAGCTCTAAATATTTACTGGTCGTAGAAAAAAAATCCTAAAATATCCCTAAAAAACAGGCCGTCACATAGGAAGACCCCCTTAAATTTAAATTAGCACGACCTGATGAAAAGTATATTATATTACAGAAATTACGGAATTATTTAGATAGTCTTCATGGGGCATTCACTGAGGTGGTAGCGTTCAAACCCAGCGGCTGGGAAAATGGCAGAAACTCTTCAGTCCAGAAAGATATGGTCACGATTCACGGTAATTCACATTATTAGATACTAATATATAACTTATGAAAATACAAAGTTTCCCTGCATAGTTAAGACTACTTTAAAAAATTAATATTTTTCAGTCTTTTGTATTTAGGACAAATGAGATTAAACCGTTGAACATTCGGCTCTACCATAGTTTTCTTGTAAAAAAACTTTGTCGTTGAAAGAACTTTATTTTTTATTTTATTTATATATATTATATCAACCTGACAAAAGCTACATGGCTGGCAATAGGCCCACAAATTATTGTTACTAATAATCCCTAATCCTTAATTTGTATCGATGGTTCTATGTATCAATATTTATAACACCACTAATTTTGCAGGCATACCATACAGTGAGCACTCTAGTTTCTCGGAAATGATTCGCTTTGTAAAATTTTTAACGCCGAAACAAGTGGTGCCTACTGTCGATATTTCTGGAGGAATTAAAGCTGTGCAGGTATGTATGTACAGGCATTGATACTTTGCATTCGAACGAATTCAAAGTTAAATAACTTTATTACTTTAAAATAAATTTTAATTATGTTTTTCAATATGAAAGCCTTTATTATTAGAGCAAGAGCCCACGACTGCCAGACATACGTCATTTTAATAAACGTGAAAGTTCTTGTATGTGTGTCCCCAACACAGGTAAGAACGATCCCCAAATATGAAACCTGGATCGTGGTTCCTTTGGCAGGTACCAGGTAACAAAGGTGTAAAAAAAATCATACCAAATTCGTTATTTTAAGAAACTCCATATTTTCATATATTGTTCGTAGCACTATTATAACTTGCGCTGCTCATTGCCAGACACGTAGTGTGGTTCCAACCCCCGCCGGACCCCCTAAACTATACTATTTTAGAAATAAACTTACGTCATTTTAATAAAGCTGAAATTTATATATATTATTGAGAGTTCTCTCAAACTGAGTTTCCTAAATTGCCAGACAGTTTTCTTGGTTCCTTATCATACCAGACTCATTGAAACCGTATATTGGGTAACAACGGTGTATACAATTTCATATCAAATTCGTTATTTTAAGATGCTCCATTTTTTCACATACTGCTCGTAACAGTATTATAACTTGCTCTGCTCATTGCCAGACCCTTAGTGTGGTTCCAACCCCCCGCCGGACCCCCCTAAACTATACTATTTTGTAAATAAACTTACGTCATTTTAATAAAGCTGAAATTTATATATATTATTGAGAGTTCTCTCAAACTGAGTTTCCTAAATTGCCAGACAGTTTTCTTGGTTCTTTATTCCACCAGAATCATTGAAACCGTATATTGGATAACAATGGTGTATACAATTTCATGTCAAATTCATTATTTTAAGATGCTCCATTTTTTCACATATTGTTCGTAGCATTATTATAACTTGCGCTGCTCATTGCCAGACACGTAGTGTGGTTCCAACCCTCCGCCGGACCCCCCTAAACTATACTATTTTAGAAATAAACTTACGTCATTTTAATAAAGCTGAAATTTATATATATTATTGAGAGTTCTCTCAAACTGAGTTTCCTAAATTGCCAGACAGTTTTCTTGGTTCCTTATCATACCAGACTCATTGAAACCGTATATTGGGTAACAACGGTGTATACAATTTCATATCAAATTCGTTATTTTAAGATGCTCCATTTTTTCACATATTGCTCGTAACAGTATTATAACTTGCTCTGCTCATTGCCAGACCCTTAGTGTGGTTCCAACCCTCCGCCGGACCCCCCTAAACTATACTATTTTGTAAATAAACTTACGTCATTTTAATAAAGCTGAAATTTATATATATTATTGAGAGTTCTCTCAAACTGAGTTTCCTAAATTGCCAGACAGTTTTCTTGGTTCTTTATTCCACCAGAATCATTGAAACCGTATATTGGATAACAACGGTGTATACAATTTCATGTCAAATTCATTATTTTAAGATGCTCCATTTTTTCACATATTGTTCGTAGCATTATTATAACTTGCGCTGCTCATTGCCAGACACGTAGTGTGGTTCCAACCCTCCGCCGGACCCCCCTAAACTATACTATTTTAGAAATAAACTTACGTCATTTTAATAAAGCTGAAATTTATATATATTATTGAGAGTTCTCTCAAACTGAGTTTCCTAAATTGCCAGACAGTTTTCTTGGTTCCTTATCATACCAGACTCATTGAAACCGTATATTGGGTAACAACGGTGTATACAATTTCATATCAAATTCGTTATTTTAAGATGCTCCATTTTTTCACATATTGCTCGTAACAGTATTATAACTTGCTCTGCTCATTGCCAGACCCTTAGTGTGGTTCCGACCCCCCGCCGGACCCCCCTAAACTATACTATTTTATAAATAAACTTACGTCATTTTAATAAAGCTGAACTTTATATATATTATTGAGAGAACTATTAAACTGAGTTTCCTAAATTGCCAGACAGTTTTCTTGGTTCCTTATCCTACCAAACTCATTGAAACCGTATATTGGGTAACAACGGTGTATACAATTTCATATCAAATTCGTTATTTTAAGATGCTCCATTTTTTCACATATTGCTCGTAACAGTATTATAACTTGCTCTGCTCGTTGCCAGACCCTTAGTGTGGTTCCAACCCCCTGCCGGACCCCCAAACTATACTATTTTATAAATAAATTTACGTTATTTTAATAAAGCTGTAATTTATATACATTATAAATAAAATAAGTTTATTTATAAAATAGTATAGTTTAGGGGGGTCCGGCGGGGGGTTGGAACCACACTAAGGGTCTGGCAATGAGCAGAGCAAGTTATAATACTGTTACGAGCAATATGTGATAAAATGGAGCATCTTAAAATAACGAATTTGATATGAATTGTATACACCGTTGTTACCCAATATACGGTTTCAATGAGTCTGGTATGATAAGGTACCAAGAAAACTGTCTGGCAATTTAGGAAACTCAGTTTGAGAGAACTCTCAATAATATATATAAATTTCAGCTTTATTAAAATGACGTAAGTTTATTTACAAAATAGTATAGTTTAGGGGGTCCGGCGGGGGGTTGGAACCACACTAAGGGTCTGGCAATGAGCAGGGCAAGTTATAATACTGTTACGAGCAATATGTGAAAAAATGGAGCATCTTAAAATAACGAATTTGATATGAAATTGTATACACCGTTGTTACCCAATATACGGTTTCAATGAGTCTGGTATTATAAGGAACCAAGAAAACTGTCTGGCAATTTAGGAAACTCAGTTTGAGAGAACTCTCAATAATATATATAAATTTCAGCTTTATTAAAATGACGTAAGTTTATTTCTAAAATAGTATAGTTTAGGGGGGTCCGGCGGGGGGTTGGAACCACACTAAGGGTCTGGCAATGAGCAGAGCAAGTTATAATACTGTTACGAGCAATATGTGAAAAAATGGAGCATCTTAAAATAACGAATTTGATATGAAATTGTATACACCGTTGTTACCCAATATACGGTTTCAATGAGTCTGGTATGATAAGGAACCAAGAAAACTGTCTGGCAATTTAGGAAACTCAGTTTGAGAGAACTCTCAATAATATATATAAATTTCAGCTTTATTAAAATGACGTAAGTTTATTTCTAAAATAGTATAGTTTAGGGGGTCCGGCGGGGGTTGGAACCACACTACGTGTCTGGCAATGAGCAGCGCAAGTTATAATAGTGCTACGAACAATATATGAAAATATGGAGTTTCTTAAAATAACGAATTTGGTATGATTTTTTTTACACCTTTGTTACCTGGTACCTGCCAAAGGAACCACGATCCAGGTTTCATATTTGGGGATCGTTCTTACCTGTGTTGGGGACACACAGACAAGAACTTTCACGTTTATTAAAATGACGTATGTCTGGCAGTCGTGGGCTCTTGGGCTATATAGTAGATCATACGGCATCTTCTTGGCCATGCCTTTAAAGCTCGGTTGATCATTATTTGTGGGATTTTCTTGACCTCTTCCCGTAAAGTCTTTTTAAGCGACAATATTGTCTTCACTTTTCGCTTGTTCATTCGCCTCTTCAGATATCCCCAACAAAAGTAGTCCATAGGAGCACAATCAGGACTGTTTGGTAGCCATTGATGAGATGGAATGAAAGTAATTCTGCTTGTCTTAAGGAACTTTTGGGTCTTTTTTGACATATGACTTGGGGCTGAGTCTTGATGGAAGACACAGTCCTTATTTGGGTACAACTTTGGTATATCGTGTCGAATAAATGGCTTTAAGATCTTCTTTATGTAGTAGTCTGTATTGATCTTTGCACCGGGTGTCACAAATCTGAGAGAAGTACAGCCATTTGCCGAAATGCCCAACCATACCATAACACCCTTAGGATGTGACTGTTGTTGGTATACGTCTAGGTCTTTGCGAGTTTGTCCTCTGGATTTGTACTGGACACGTGTTTGACGATTACGGTTAGCAAGGTAAAACCATGCTTCATCAGTAGTGATGAACTTTTTCCAACGATTACATCTCAATTTCATATATATAGGCCAAGAACGGCAGTATCTCTTTTGTACCGAACCCGGACTCAATGCTTGTACTTTCGGTTTTTGGGCCAACTTTTTATTAAGTTTTTTGTCTATTTGATACCTCACAACATGTCTCTTCACTTTCAAGATATCGGCCATCGCTTGTTGTGTCGGAGGGTTTGGGTTATTAACCATAGTTTCCAGTTGTTTGAATTGGCGTTCCGTTAGTGGTGGTTTACGACCCGGCGGTTTACCCTTGGGCTTGATTTGGTTAACATTTTCACTTCTCTTCTTGATCTCAGTTATGGTACTCTTAAGCAATTTGATTTTCAGACCTTTAAAGTGTTTTATTATTCGAGAGTATGACCACTTAATACTTAAAAAGGCCAAAACCTGATGTTCCACTTCAGGAGCTGTTCTGGCCACCATTTTGATTGTGATTGGTATTAAATTTAATATAAACAAAAATAGAGAATTCAATATTTATTTTTATATGAAACCTGATTACTAAGCTTTCATTACAGTTTTACAATTAACTATTGAATTCGTTCGAATGCAAAGTATCAATACCTGTAATTTAAATTTAATATCGCGCATATTTATTTAAAACTACTGGTACCGCACTCGACTGCGTTCGCAATTAAGTATTGGGAATAATAATATACTAAATTATATTTTTTGTTTGTGAATCGGACTACATTAACTTGTTAAAACATAATGAAAGCCGTATTGATATTGATAAAGTTATTTGTGACATGAGTGTTATAATCATGTATGAAATAAATTTTAAATTTTGTTGCAGAAGTATTTCCCATGCCCGCTTGTTTACAAAAATGATCAATCTCAGAGCATATTGACAGATTTCTTCAGCATACAGAGTCGACAGCAGGTTCCCGCTGTCACTTGAATCTAAAGTTAGTACCTATTGTGATATTTTCAACTAATAATTAATAATAATAATAACCGTGGACAAATCTCACAACGCTATCTAGTCCCAAGCTAAGCAGAGCCTGTGTTTTTAGTACTAGACAATTGATAGTAATGTTTTTTTTTAATCGATCCATAGTTTCCAGAAGCAAGCGTAGCAATTGTCCTTAATCTAATAGTTGTTATTTTGTTTTGATAGTCAAGTTGAATTACTATAATAACAAAATAATTTATAACATTCTTTGTTTCAGATGTACTAAAGACAATTATTATAAGCAACTTTAGCGTGACTGTGATGTAACTATTTTTTGATATATTTTTATTGTAGGATGAATATTATATTAATTGTTGTATAATAAACCTTTTTTAAACACTTTATTTGATATCTCTTATTGCAAGGTCTTTATTAGTCGAGCTTAATTTACTAGGATTCGGGTTTCATTAGGTAACATTCCTGTGGGAAACAGATGGCTAGTAAATAATATATACTATTTATTAACCTTTTATTGGAAAGACATGAAGTTATAATTTATCAACACTATCAGAAACAACCTTGGATGGGTCACATTCTTCTGTACCTTTACATTTTAATAAATTAAGTAATGAATTCCTGTACCACTGAATAATAGATTGAAACTCTTCATTAACTATATTCTCTAGCTCATATGGGTCTCTCGATAGGTCGTACATTTCGACAAAATTCTGAAAAAAGAAAAATACGACATTACATATTTTCTTCTCAACTGGATAGTAAAATATTTCGATATGTATAAAATAAATTATTTTTAATATCATATGTGGTGGCAACATGGACATCAACAAACCAGTTATATCTGAGATAGCATGAAATTGCGAGTAATACACTCCACACAATAAAATACGAATAATACGTTTATAGTAAAATCGGAATATATAATTTCTAAACGATATAGACGAGCCGTACTTTTTGAGGCCCTTAATGTAATACAGTCAAATCTGTACGGTTTAATACTAACATACCGTACACTTAATACTAAACTGCATTAATTAAAAAATCGTGATATTGCGATATGCATTTTAATATTTTTAGTTTTATAGTCGATCTTCCAAAATATCTAATGTGTATTAAGCTTGCCATGTGCGGGCACAATCTTCTCAGAAAACATTTTTGATTCAAGTATTCCAAATGAATTTTGTTGATATATTAAAAAAGTCCCACCTCTTTGTCTGCAAACATACAATATTTCATGTTGATCCGCTCAGCTATATGTCTCACACATGCATATGTATTATTCTTCGAGTCTTGACATTTGCAGTCATATAATGGATGGCATTGCTGAAATTATAAGAGAGAGAGAGATTACATGTAAGAAAATATTAAAATATATTCTCTCGAATTTGATCCATTTGTGCACTAAATTAAATCCGTTTACATTAAAGAATAATTGAGTAATGTAATTTTTAACTATGTAGGTACAAATAAATAAGATTGAACATTTGTTATTTCAAATTTATAACTTTTCACCAAATGCTTATGTGTGTATGTAAACACGACATATACAAAAAAAAATATCAATCTATCTGCCTGTTTGTTGTTGCTCACTCTGAAAGGGTTGAACTGACTTGCAAATAGCTATTTTTATAAAACTTATAAGGAGGAACTTGGTTATTATCGCATATAAACAAACAGTTCCACGGATGTCGCGAGATAAATTATGATGCCAGTGGTCACTCCATGCGATGCCATTCCCGAGGTCTAAATTTTCCTCTTATTTGTAATTTCATTGCCAAATCTCATCCTTCAGACAGGATCACAGGAAACAAGTCGATTAACTGTCGAAATACGTCAGACAGAGATACGTACACAAGGTGACTTTTAAGACTACATCAGTGTTTTAGTAGGTTTTAGTATAATTTCAACATATATATCTATAATATACAAAGTTACATATATACTTACAGCAAGCTTATCACTATCATATATCCAAGGACACTTCGGATCGACAGTTCCGTCTCTTCCTTCGCCGAAATACTCTACCAGCATTAATCTGTTTATGTTATAGTCGTCTTTTAATAATTCTATGGGATGCCCATCCATTTGTTCTGATTCTAAGCCAGCTAACTGTAATATTGTAGGAGCCAAGTCGATGTTTAAGACAGGTTGAGGGTTCTCTACCTTTTTCTTTATATTTGGCCCACGAATTATGAGAGGGACTCTAATATCTGATTCATAGGGTTGTCTTTTGTCGTATACTTGAGAAAATTGACCTGTAAATTTTGTGTTTATAGTATTTGTAAGTTTATAAATTTTATCTTATTAATACATATAGATATGGTGTTATGATCTCTTAAATACTGGATACGGATTAGTGATAGAATTAAATAAATGTTATAACTTACAATTGAATGAATCCATATTTTAAATACATATAAGATGAATTTAACTTTAATCCATTATAAGATATTTATAATAAAACACACGATAGGTAGTCCTACGGAATGGCAACACATGAATGGTATTACGAAGCTCACATGTTAATTGTAGTAATGCTGTTCATGTATATAGGTGACAGTTATCACTTACAATCAGGTGAACCGTAAGCTTCTTTGCCACTGGAATTACATAAATAACAGTCACAATTAAACTTACCAATATGATAACCATTATCTGATGTATATATTATATATGTGTCTTCCATAAATTCATTAATTTCTAATGACTGTACTACATCGGCTACCATTTCATCAACAGCTAGTAATGCCTCCCAGCGTGAACGGTATGCATTGTCGAGCTCTGGTATCATAGAATCTGGTAGGGGCGATGGCGGCATACGGAGTAGCCAGTGCTTATCCTGAGAATAAGTTTAAAATAAAGAATATGAGATATAATAATGACATTGAACATAAAACGTATAACATAGCGTCATTACAAACTAGGAAAAATAGACTCCTTCTAGTTTTGAAAATATATGTATATCTAAAAATCTTATAATACGGTCAGAGTAAAACCACTTGCTGGTCCGGAGAATGTTTTTACTCTACAGTATGAACGCATAAATAACTAATTTAATTCTATTGGTAGTTACATAAAATCAAAAGTATTTAATATACTTACATCTGCAACTACATTAAAATTAGGATGTCTGACGGCGGTGACGTTGCTGTAAACACCTTTATGCCGAGGCGCTGGCGTAAATGGTTGGTGCGGAGCCGGAGGAGCTAGTACCATGAGAAATGGTTGCGTTTTTGTCTGGTTTTCTATATAGTTTATGCTGATTTCTCTCTGGAAAAAAAACAATTGGAAACTACTATAATGCAGAATTGGGTAGTCAGAGCCATTGTCAATTGCCAATGTTGTTTTGAACGTAACACACGAAATGTTCATACGTCGTTGTATAAAGTATGTATATATTTTAATATTTATATAATTCTTATGTACTTATATTTGTCACCTAACTCCTAATGAGAATAAAATGTTAATAAACAGCTGAATGTTTTGAAATTAGGCAGGGTAACGGGTATCGTGTTTCGCTATTATATATAGGATAGTTTTAAATTTATACGGAACACTACTTAACTCACTTTAAAATTTATAAGCATTAAGTAATAAATATTGTATAGTATAGGTAAAGTAATACTACTTACAATAAGATCAGTGAGGTACAAATCTGTGGAGTGTGTGGGTACGCCGTCATTGGATATAGTGTAGTTGTAGTAAACAGAGTTGCCGACCAAACCATGCCACTCCGACCATCCCGGCGGCACGCGACTCGGGCCCTCCGCATGTTTAGCTCCATACTATTAATAATTTAAATACTTAACAGATAGAGTATTTTAACTAAGATGAATGATAAGATGAGAATGAGGTCGGGTTAGTTAGCCCATTGTGGCATATTCACCAGGAATTTAACATAAAGTTTTCCAATGGTAACCGCGCAGTGGTCTACCTGACATGGTACATTCCTATCAATATGGTTTTGAATCCACATTAATAACGATCCTTTTTCGCCTGTGTGGAGGTTTATTTGATAGCAGTATTCCTTGCTACCATTGGAACTGTTTTAACTCTTTTTATATTTGTTTACAATTGTACACTAGAAAAAGAATAGAAATAATCTTTATTCAAATAAACTCAATAAATACAAGCACTTTTGAATTGTAATATTTTTGATTCTACCACTCATTCGGAACGTAACCTACGTTCCGAATGAGTGGTAGAATCAAAAATATTTTATATAATATCATTACCAGAATAATGAGCAAGAAACTTGTCTGATGCTCTTTTGAATAGATTTTTTTATATATAAATAGGTAATTACTCTAATTAATATATAATTGGGAGACCATGAGAATACTACATAAGAGCTCTATATATATTACATCCCACGCGAGTTTGTGTTGGAATAGAATTAATAAATTATAAATTTTTGATAGGCATTGATAAAATATATCCCTTCATCTGATCGGGGCGATCGAAAGTTAAGCACTAAACTAAGATATTTATACATAGAATTCAATACCAACCTCATTTAGATACTTTCCAGCATAGAAAGTATTATAGCCAGCATTTTTTAACGCGTTTGCAAACACTTGATGCTCATTTTGGCGCCAATGTTCTCCATAGCAGCCTCCTGTCACGCTGTTGTTACGCGTTAGGTGATTATGTACGTACAATCCTGTGAGGAGGCTGGCGCGGCTCGGACAGCAGATTGGAGAAGATACAAACTGTTTGATGAATTTTTTTATTTACACATGGTGTGGATTACTCAGCGCCATCTAAGCAGCTAAGCGGAGAGTAAGCTAAGCGGAGGGTGAGCTAAGCGGAGTTTGTATTATGGGTACTAGACTAGTGAAATAAATATTTAATTTCTTTTGTAAATACACACAAAATATACATAGAAAACACCCAGACCAATACAAATAACTATACCCATGAATATCTGTTGGAATGTAAGGTGGTATGCTTCCAAGTCGTCACAATTTTTATCATCATCATCATCATCGCAGCCCGGAAGACGTCCACTGCTGGACATAGGCCTCCCCCAAAGATCTCCACGACGATCGGTCCTGCGCTGCTCGCATCCAATGCCTCCCAAAATTTTTATGTAACAGTAATAGCAAAACTGAATTCAACATTCTGGGAGACTTAAATATCATCTTTCCACCTTGTAATTTTATTGCTATAGCCCATTCTTCAATCAAAATATCTTCACGGTACGCTTGCTAAATGACTAGCATAGGTGAGCTAGTGTAGCTTACCAAGTATAACTTAACAATTAAATTTCATCAAAAATTCTCATAAACACATTCCTCCATCATATTTCATATTTGAGATTGGATGTTCTATGGTTGCTTTACAACTACTTACTGAGTTTTTAAACGTCACACCTTCGTCAGCAATAAACCTCCGAACATTTTTCATTGGATTCTGAAATAAAATAAAACTACAGTTTGTCTCGCTAGTCTATTTTATTTTTTGTAACCATATTATAATTCATAACACACTATATTTACTAACCATTCCACCCAATACAACATCTTGATCGTCAGTTAATATAAGAACGAAGTTCGGTTTCCTATCACACGTCGCTATTTGTGCGAGAAAAAATAACAATAAATAACGTAACATCTTAACGTGTTTTTTTGCTTATATTAATATTGTTTTAAATTAATTTTATTGAGGTACTGCAGGCATTAACTCAAGTCCTGTACATTCGCTGGCGATTACAACTCCAACTGCGAAAAATCCGACACTCTTCACTACTGACCTGTAAGATAACATTCAATAAGGTTAGATTACTCATATGTAGCATATATTAAACTAAGCGTTGGTCTAACCCCTGTGACGTCTTAACAATATTAGCAGTTTATTGTATATATCATATTTTGACAAATATTTTATAATTTAATTAATATATATATAGTGGTTGATATTGTTACAAACTACATTACACATATATATTAAATTGTGAACTGATTCTGATGGTTTGCAGTCAATAATTTTGATTCTAATTATTTAAATCTATACTTGTAATAATTCTGATTTGTTGTCAAATGAAACAAAATACTTAACAGAATTTTAATTTTTCGTATTTTTTTTAGATCTATTAAGGTTTAAGTAAAAAATAACTATGTAATAAAGGTTTAATACTATTAATATATGAATATACTATTTTAATTTATCTGATATTGAATTTCAATATACAAATGGTCAGTCAGTAGTCAGTTTTTTATAATAATAAATAAGAACAGTAATATTAAAATATTGCGAAGATAAGGGGGTTAAATAAATATTGAGATAACATAATTATAAATTCTCCAATATATACCTATAAACTTATAATTTTGTGTTGAGCATTAAGTGATTACGATTTGTCAAACTTTGTTTACTAGTGTAACTATTTTAAAATACAAATTACAGGTCATCCTTTCTAATATGATAAATATTGAAATGAGTTTGTTTCTTTATCATATTTTAATGCTCTAAACAATAGTCATGGATCAATAAATAGCATATATCATACACCTACTAATAATTTCTTTAAAAATAGACCTTACAGTTAACATTTTAGAACAGATATATAAAAAACTCAAGTTAATCCAGTATTGCATGTTTGCACAAAACAATGCTATATATTTATAACCATAACATAAATATTTTTAATTAAATTATTACGGCTGGGTCATATCTATTATTTCAATTCTATAAAACAGAATCTTACATGACATATGCCAATTTATACATAATTTGCTTTGCAAAATCCACCAGTGAACAAATACAAGACTATTGGTTTTTCAATATAAATATGTACGTTTATAAGCATGTACAAGTACTTAGAAAGGGTAAGTGCTGATTTTCTAAGCTTAGTTTAGTTCTTCTTGGTTCGGAACTACAATATTTTGAAATAACAATAGTTTTGGTTTATCTAATTGTCTGAAAATGAAATATATCTTTATCCATATAGGTCAATTGTCTGACCTATATGGATAAAGATATATTGATATTTTATATAATATATGTATATCCTCAAAGCGAGGATAAGGTTCATAGAATATAAAGCAAATCTTTTAATGTCTTTTAGTCTTGTAATATTCCAATCTTAAGATTTATAAATTAAGATTAAGATAAATTATTCAGATTAGAAATTATTACAACTATTGCTTTTTATAAAGATAAAAGACATAGAACATTTATATATGATATTATTATTAATCATATCAATAGTAACCATATTAATTAACAATGAACAATACTTTTAGACTGCATTGTATTTGCAGTAATATCATAATAATTATTCTATGGATCATTTCTTTAGAACATATTAATGTACAGTTTATTTGGTATGAAAGTGTGACTATATTTAATAATTTATTTACTTAATAACTTCAATGTCTAAAATACCAAGGTAAAAGTACATATGGCGGACTTAAACCCTTCCGGCATTTTCTACCAGTAAACCACAGTGCAGAGGAAAATTGTAGGCGGTGCAAATATAATCAATAAGTAAGACAATATCATAAAAAGTATATATTAAAAGTAAGGTACAAGTAAACACATGCATACATAAATGATGTATTGATTAATTTACTAAAATATTAAGAATTCACTGTAATTTGAAATGTGTATTCTCTTACATTTATTTACAAACAGGTTATGTCTATAAATGTGGACACTTACCATTTAAAGGGATCATAATAAAAATCTTTTACAAATGCAACAACAGTTTTTTTGCCCATTATAGTTAAGTTACTATTTCTTTATTTAAATTCAAAGTAAGATAATAATTTCGTAAAATACGTAATAAAATCCTTACAAGAGATATTTTACAAAAAAAATATAAAATGACATTAAGAAAGCATGTACTATAAAACTGACATTAACGTCAGTCATTTACTTACGCTGTTTGTTGGCTGTAGCCAATGCAATGTTTCTTTTCATTTCGCTTAATCTTCGTCTCATGCTTTCTGACAGAGTGAAGCATGTCCTTTCCATCCAACTTAAAAAAAGTATTTTATATTAATAACATCTCCCTGACATTTAAAATATTTTATTATTCAAAATGATATGCTTGTCAAATGTTATCAAAATCGTGTTCGTTTGTAATTGGAGTCATTGTTTTTCTGTTGTATGCAAATTAATTACAATGATGAATATGGAATAGTGTTCGATTATTTGTAAATGATAGCAGGGTATCACGCGTAAAATGTCTGATCTAGTTATCCATTGCGACGAATTCATTAGAAACATGAAATTACAGGCAAAGATAGCATTACATCTTAGTTCTTTGCAATCGCAATGCATGAGTGTTATCGCGAGTGTCACATGATGGTTACTGCTTACTATCAGGTGGTCCGTCAGTTTGTAAAAAAAAGTTTTAGAGCGTTTATTACCAGAAAATTTTTTAACAAGACTATTCACCTGCTGAGCTAGGCTTCTGGGGAGGGTGGGATTCTTACCTGTTAAAAAAACCACACGGAATATATCGAGGCACCATTGCCAAAGTCATGGAGTCACGTTAGCGTTCTATACCTATAGATGTATATAAACCTAGAAAAATATCATATTTGGTATAGTACTGGTACCTATTCTTATAGTCTACTCACCACAGGTACACTTGTCTCAGTGGATAAACTATACTCACAACATCAAAAAAGAAAACATTAGTATTGAAATTATTTATTATTTGAAACTGTTCTTACAATCCAATCGGTATACCGAGATATTTTTGTATATACGCCAGGATAGTAGTGATGTCCACAGGAGTACCCGAATGACACAAGGCCGACTACCAGACCCTTGTATATCAAAGGTCCACCTGAATCCCCGAAGCACGCGTCCACTCCAGCGACGTTGAGTTCACCAGCACACATCATAGTGTCAGCGATTACAGCTTTTATTGTACCATATCTGCTGGCACAAACTTTTTGATCTATCACATATAAAGACGCATGCTGTAGTTGTTCTAGTCGAGGTCCGTCGACCTGAAATTATATGTAATAGGACAACTGTTATTGCAGATAGTCGGAGGGAGTATCAATTGTCAAAGTCGTGGAGAACGCAGCACCTATACTTAAGGTACCTATACTTAAATCATATATTTCAGATGTTGAACTAGCGTCTTTATTCGGATTAATGTAATTTGTTATCCCTCTTTCTCTTTCGGAAGAGTCAGTCCAAAATATTATTTTTATCAAATATTAATTTCTTTAGGCCTTAAGTCGGGAATGCAATCACTGGGTGAGGAGGGAAGGGGTTTGTTAGTAATGTGGAATCATTACCCCATTACCCCATTACTAGCATGTGCCATGTCAGGTTGACCTCCACGCGGTTCTCCCTGGAAACCATAGTGATAAATTTGTCACGATGGGCTAACTGACCTGACCACATGTTCATTTTATCATCCTCCACTGGTGCCACGCCAGCGTAAACCGTTAGCGCAGACGTTTGCACCATTCCATTATCATCCTTAAAAAATATAAATTACTGGGTGTTGTCAAAATTAATATACGTCAGAAATACCTGTTTTGATCCCCATCCAAGCAGCGTACATATTGAATTCGGCTTTACTTCTACACCGTGTCTTATAACAGTTCCTTGTCGAATGTTACTTCCAAATACAAATGACTTTGAAACAACAAGTACAGCGATATCATTTGTGTAAAAATACTTGTCGAATGCATGATGAGGAATTATAGTTTTAATGCTGTGTATAATTCCACCTCGGGAGCGATAAGTTGAACCGACGCGTATCTTCCAGTATCGAGGTTGAGTGTAGCTAAAATCGCAAAATTAATGTCATAGTAACTAATGTTAAACGTGAAAGTAAGTTTCCTTGTTGCTAATGATATACTCGTATTTTGGAATATATATAGTGTTTAGGATGGCCAATGACTTGAGTTACTTTTATCCCGTCAAGTCGTGGTCATTTAGACAAAATCGCGGTTATAAGATAAATTTTAGTCTAATATTGCATATTGAGGGGAAGGGAATCATGTTATTTATATGTTAGGTCAAGATTCACGCAGTCCTCCTTTGTTACCAAGTTCGTTAATTCCTGATAAATTTCTCTACTGTCTCTGTGGGCACTGCGAATGACAGCGTATGCCGTCAGTGCAGTCGTGAACTACTTCATTGTCACTTTATCACCCATTAAAAAATATATTGAACTAGCTTTTGCCCGCGGCTTTGCTCGCGTTAATTTATCTCCTTAGGGGTGGAATTTATCAAAATCCTTTCTTAGAAGATGCCTACGTCATAGTAGCTTTACGCATGCAAAGTCTCAGCCCGATCGGTTTAAAATTGACAAAGTTTTATACAAACTTTCATCCCCTTGGGGGTAGAATTAATCAAAATCCTTTCTTAGCGGATGCCTACGTCATAACATCTACCTGCATGCCAAATTTCAGCCCGATCCGTCCAGTGGTTTAGGCTGTGCGTTGATAGATCACTATGTCAGTCACCTTTGAGTTATACCTATATATTTAATTTATGGATATGAGATTCCTACAAAAACTATCTATCTGGTTATACTCACTCTTTGCTACTCTGCTCGTTGTTTTGAAAGCAATGTGCCGTTGATATTACATGCCGGGAGGTCAATATAACTCCAGCACAGTGCTGTTCATAGGTTTGGTTTCCCCAGGTGTCTAGTAGCAGCTGAGCTAGTATGGGATATTTATCTATGGTTGTTGGTGCACCACCAACTACACGAGTGTTGTGAAGTAATTGGGAATCCACTGAAATAGAAATTTATGTGTCAGATGATTTAAGTGTTACTGATTTTTCAGAACCGAAACAAGATTTAACGCTGCTAGCATTATAAGTAGGTTGTAAGTAGTGGTGATTGAACTGTTCGAAAGTCGGTTTCGGTTCTGCCGTTCGAAGGTTATATTTTTCCCTATATTGGTATATACAAACAAAAAAAAATGTATTGCAGTGACAAATCACGCCACGGCAGCGTATACCGTTAGGCCTTATAGTAGTCATTCATTATAAAAAAAAACACTCTGTTTTCACCCTATACTGCTTATAGGCGAGTACCTCTCGAGGATTAACTAACATTCCCGATGCATCTAGTTTATAGTAAAATACCTAACTATATTATTATAGCTGACTGTGTTCACAGAACCACACTAACTCGGTTAGTAGTGTGTATGAATGTATATGTTTTTTTTCGGACTACTCTAATGCTGTTGGCAGCAGCTGGCCTTTACAGCTTCATCGGACGTTAGGGGGCGAGTGCAGATGGCACGACAAACACGCGGAAGGACTTATGAAGCGGCTGAAGGCCAACTCCTGCCTGATGGATACGACTTTAGTCTGAGGGCACTACTAGAGGTTCGAACCTCGGTTCAGGCCGTCGTAATATGTGCATTTTACTTACCCCTTATACAGAAAATGAATCCCAAAATAGTTAATATATGACTAATATAATACATGGTTTTTATTATTGTATTTATTTAAGCACTAGATAGAGACGATGTTAATCGTTGAACAAACTAGTTTGAATGATCGTAGGTCCACTTGCAAAATATATCAATAGTCAACATTGCAAGCGCTTTCCTATGATATTAAATTATGATTGAATCGATTACAGTGGACCCCGTTGATCCGTTCTATAGTACGATAAACTATTATTGATACTTGATTTTAGCTACGTTGCAAAAAGAATAAGCAAGCATCTTACGTATTCCAAACATGATATAGGTATTTGAAATATTTTGAATTTAATAAAGAATATTTATGGCATATTAAAGTAGTCATACAATTGTAGGTATATATGTGTTGTAATGAGCATGTAGGTAAAATTTTACTATTTTTACTTTATCTTCGCTCTGTGAATAAAATCATTAACAAATGGAATGTGAGCATGGTAGGTAATATTAAACTACTGTATTAACAAGGTAATATAAATAACTACCATAATGGCTAGAGTCAAGATTATTTTGATCTCATACTTCTTTATATTAAATTGTTAAAATTGTTTAAAATGTCTTTAGGTTCGAGATAATATTTTTTGCTATTATGTAATATTACCAACAGGCACTACAAGTCTTATTTACTGCAAATTACTAAACCGGATCAAAGCTTCACTAGTGAGGTATTTGATATCACAGATAACTATAATATTATTAAAATACATATTAAAGTATCAAAACTAATTCATCGCAATAGATATAAAATGAAAATACCCACCTCCTGAGATGAGAGATTGATCTGTAATGAACAGTGCATATTGAGCATCAATCACATGTAGTTAAGATTAGAAACTACACGTTGATTTAGAAAACTGATTTAGGTCATTAAATAGTATACTAACTGTTCTTTCAAATTACATTGGCGGCGTAGGTATATTATGAAAGTTAGTATGTACGAAGAGATAGAGAAATAAAAATTTTACGTTATAATATTACCTTTGGTACCTAATTACATAACATAGCGTCATATAGTCGAAGTAAGCACAGCTGATGCTAAATAAAAAAAATAATTTCTATCAATATCTGATAGAAATTATTTTCAAGTATAATAATTATATCTTCTAATATACAATTATATAAAATTGAAAAATGCTCGTATCGAGGTGTTTATTACCAAACTCCTCCGAAACGGCTTTACCGATTTTGTTGAAATTTTATGTGCATATCGGGTAGGTCTGAGAATCGGCCAACGTCTATTTTTAACCCCCTAAAGGTGACCAACCCTAAATATTTTGTCTAATTTTTTCATTTTAATTGATTTATGATTAATCATTAAAAATAACAACCACCAATAAATTTTCACCCTTTTACCATTAACCCCTATATATAATGGCGATTTTAATTTACATGACAAAATAATGTTTGCGGCGCGGCGTCATTTATATCATATATTTATAAATATATAGAAAGGATCAGATTCGCTTTTAGAAACTGTTTTGCTTAGAAAGTAACCCGACTTTTGAGAGTAAGCCAAGCTCATATGTAGGCATTAATAATAATAATTAGTCATTGTAAGGGACCAAGTTCGCGTTTACGACTTCTATGAAGGTAAAGCTCCTTTTAATTACTTTAAAAGTATGTGTTCAATAATTAAAATAAAAAAAAAACATCATTCATATTTATCATATCTTTTATTTACAAAAAAACTAGGCAATTTCATTAGATGAAGTGGACAAATATTATGCATAAAATGAAATTATGAAAAAATATTAATATGATATTCTGCAAACCAGTTATATTAAATATAAATAAAAGTAGTATACTCCATAAATAACTCTTCATACAGACTAAAAAAATGACTATAATTTTTTATTGTAAAAATATGTCATTGTAAATTTTAATAACTTTCAGATTCATGTTAACTAATGTATTATTATATGAAGACATAAGAATTATCGTATTATTCCTTTATTTCTAATTGCACTTTGTATTTGATTGTCTATGCTAGCATAATATTTCATTATACTCAATAATTTAATAACTTTCTTCAGATCACCATCAAAAAATGCAGTAGACACTTGTTTTTGTAAAGTTTTGATCATAGCTTTAATTTCCTCATTAAGTTTCATAATTTCAGCTTCTGTTTCTGCACTTTCAACTTCCTCATTCTTCTCCATGATCTTCATAAGGAACCCTTGATCAACCTCTGTATTTTCAGGAATTTCCTTGCCTCTTAAACGTAACATATATATACCTGAAAATAAATTTATATGTTATTTTAATACTTAACATCCAAAGAGGATAGACCTCTATATAGATAGTTTATTTACTTTTTCTACTGTGTAAAGAAAAACTTAAACCAAAATTCTTTATATGTCTCTTATCTTACTATTTAAATATTTATCCAATTATAAATAGTTTTACAATAGAATTTACTTTACCTCTTGACATTGGTTCCAAAAGTGTTTTGTATGCTTCATTCACTAAAGATGAATATTTTTCAGATACTTCTAGTTCTTGTTTATTTCTGCAATAATTTATACATGCTTAAATCACAAAGAGATAGTATCTCATAATCCATTTCTGGATATAATAATGAAGAATTTTATTTACATAATAATGAAGTAATACACCCCCGTCTATGTAAACAGTATGTATTCTGGTGCAACATCAGTGGATGATGATCATATTAAGTTAAGTTAATTCACTGTTGTGAATTCATCAGAAATTAACCAGATTTGGGGTCGGTTTTCCATATTTTTGTCCGCCACTTAATCATGTCCCGGACATCGTCTTCAGAGACCTCACACTCCATCATGTCCCTAGCTACAACATCTTTCCATCCCTTCTTGGTCTGCCTCTGCCCCTATAGATGGGGTTGTTGATAATGGGAAAATACCATCCATTGCATTAACAATAATATGATTCATTTTGCAGTGGGCACATAATAAACTAGTTCAGTACCATAAGCTGGTTAAGTGCAAGTCCAATTATATTTTGATAGTCTAAAGAAGTTTTTATAATATTTATAAATCTACCTACACAGTATACCAAGAAAGAGGAGCGAGCCAGGTCCTAACCTCCTTACGATTTAGTAGTTCAGAAATTTTATAATTTACTTATTATGAACATGGATGCCCAATAAAAGATACATGGACTCAGTGAAATATAATGTGGTTAAAAGGAGAGCAAGGTCAGATATGACAACTGAGTGATCAGTGTCAAATGACTCTACGAACTACGCCGACTCTATATATTGTGATAAAAACAATGATTTGACTTACTTGTTAGCAAATTTATCTGGATGTAAGTACTTTTGAAGATCTTTATATTTCTTTGCTAATTCGTTTTCATCCAGGTCGTAAGTTTCTTTCACTCCCATTACATTGAAATAGTTGCTATTTACATCTGGTTCTTGTAGAACTTGGCAGTTTGAACAAAACAAATTAGAGATCAAAGTCTTAACATCTTTCCCGCAGGACCAACAAGAAACTTGCCGAATTTGTTGAAATACAGTAAATTTAAATTTATAACTATTTGTGAAAAAACTTAAACTCATGTTTTATTTTTCTTAAACGGTATTAAGTAGTTTAGATGGTTTTCCACATTTAAAATAAGTTTTCTATTTAAGAAGTTTAATTTTAAATTAAATGCGTAACCAGGACTTCGTACCAATTTTGTTCGTTTCAGAAAGAGAATAATTATTAATGCCTAAGACGAATAACATAAGTTACTGTGTTATTGTTACTAGATTTATATAAAATACGGTATAAAAAATATCTATAATAAAATCAGCTGATAAGGTCAAATTACAAGGTGACACTGACTGAAGCTGAAGTGAGTAGTGACATCTGACATTAATAGCGCTTTTAAATTTCTTTCTTAAATACTATTGTCATTTTTTAAATACATCCAAAGGGAGACAGGATGGGATTTTGTTTATCTTGGTGAACTATAGGACTATTGCTGAAGACATTTAAAGTGAATCTCAATAAGGCTAAGAAATATTTATTCAACGGTGTATAATATTTTGCATCAACTGTCGAGTGACAGTTGTCAGTTTGTCATATCTCAGAATTTCCATTCGTTTCGTCATTCAAGGTTCGATATTACTCTGTGTTATTGTGTACATTATTTGGTTACTTATATTTTATACAGTTTTTGTTTAGTTAGTTAAATATTGTACTATTTATGTAGTGTTTATAAAATATTATTAGAGAGACATTTTCTTGTTATAATACGCGTAATATATCATAATGGTTTCATATTTTACAATTGATGCTACCGGTGAAGTGGCGAACTTTCAGAAAGAAATTTCAAACATGATGCACGGTTTTGGTGATAACCCTAATCCTAATGCAGCGACAGTAGTACTAGTGGAAAGCATTGTTCTGCAACAGCTAAGATCTATACTCCAGGAGGCTTCTATTAACTCAAATTTGAGAGGTTCAAAAGTGATATCCAATTATGATATTATTTACTTGATGAGAAAAAATATTTTGAAACTGAAGAGACTTCATGATTACCAATTAAAAATAGATCATATAGAGAAAAGTCGTACTGTTTCTTCTCCATCAGAAAATGTAATATCTAATATTATGTTCGATGATGAGAAGGATCCAACAATAAAGAAGAGACGCACACATATTGATATAATTAGGGAGTTAGACGAGTATGAAGAAGTCTGTCAGATCAAGTTTGATGTAATCGATTATTTAAGGAAAGTTAGGGCTGCTAAAATTACAGAATCAATGTCTTATGAAAAATATGAGGCATACCACAAAGCAAGATGCAGTTCATTCCGTTCTGGTTATGGACTTGGCAAAGGTTTTGTAAAAATAGAGCAATGGATTAATCCAACAAAGGAATTGAAAATAACGCTGTTAGCTTTAGAGGTCCTGTGTTTTATTGCATATGAGACTGTCGCTGAAGTAGTTGATGCAGTTTTTTTGATACGACAGGATGCGAAAAAGAAATATGGAGATCCATTTAGTAAGTTTGAGGGTGGTCACTTTTGTAATCCGGTCAGTTTGAACAATTCGGTTTATATCAAGTCTGGATATGAAGGTGTACCCGCCATAACAGTGGCTGAAGTTAGAGAAGTCCTCAGAAGATATTTCAACCCGAGAATAGGAATGAATGGATTGTTTTATAGGAATATGTGTTTAGATCTACCAGTCAGATTTATTACACTATAGTTACTAAATATAGGTATTTTATTGTAAATAAACCATAAATATGACTTATTTGTTGTTTCCTTCTTTCATTATGTCTATCTTGGTCTTTCTTTATTATTACATGATGTTTGGAAAGTACAAGAACTTATGAATTTCAAGTTATTTTTACTGGTTATTTTCAAATAGGTTGCCCTATTGCCAAAATCATACTTGTGTATATTATAAAATAAAATATTACTGCCATAAATCTAATTATAAGGTAACTGTATCTATAGGTGAAAAATAAACTAATATTTATTTCTTTTCTTTATGGCTAGAAATAGAGCAATTTATTCATGTATTAGAAGTATAGGCAATCTAACAAAAACAACTACACTGTGAAATAGTTACGGCAATCGTTCACCACCACATGGGCCATATGTTTGTTTAAAACCGTCGTAGTATAAAAAAATGTGTGGTTATCTATACATCAATAAATATAAATAAAATTGGAGTGTCTGTTTGTAATATTGAAATAACGGTTTTTTACTACATGCATATGAATATGAATACGGTACATACACCAAAATAACATTTTATACAATTTTTGTCTGACTGGTTAATGTCTGAAATGTCTGGACCGATTCTGACGCGACTTTTATTGGCAGTTAGCTGAGAAGGAGTAACTTAGGCTACTTTTAAATTAGAAAAATAAAGTTAATATTCACGCGGACGAAGTCACGGGTACAGCTAGTCTATATATAAAATTTTAAAGTACTGTACGTGTTGTTATGAATGTATCGTTATTATATCCATAAAGATTGTCGTTTCTCGGTCATGCAGTCGGCCCCTGTTCTAGTAGGTAGGTACTCTTATATTTATAACTTCATTGAAGTCACCAGTCGCAGGCACTGCTATGATTGTAACTCATAAGTAAGAGTACAATACAGGTATTTTACAATATTTCATTTGTAAATTTAAATGAGGGGTATTTTACTTTCCCGTGGGATACGACAGGACATTGATCTCCACTTTGGTTGGCAAAGCGACGGGTGATATAATGGTATCCAATTTGCAATTCAATGAGATATATTTCATTAGTAAAGCGCGACTTTAAGTGAAGAGAACATAGTTGTTTTTTTAGTGAATAATTATGGAATGGCGATCTCGTCTGTTTGCGGTAGCCAGCCAATGAAAGATGAGAATGAAATGAGGTTACTAAGTCCAATGAGGAGAATTTATTTGATATTTACCACCCTTATCACATATTCTCATTATTAACATCGTTCTAGGTAATTACTACAATCATCCATTGATTCCGTATAATAAACATGAGGTAATTTTTCCAATTAGGTGGGCATTGACTTATAATATTTCTATTTCTATACCTACTTTCTTTCAATTGACAAGGAGGAAGGTGGTAAGAGATTCGTGATGAAATTTCTATGTAATTAATCGGTACGCATCTCCTTTCATATAAAAAAAAATGAATTTGTTTATAAATAATGTACTCCCGAGGTAACAAACATTTAATAAAAATTACAATCGAAATAACAAACTACTTAAAGTCGATATTGAACATTCTACGTACTGAAAGCCAATTTAACCTTGGGGTAAATATCTGATGACAAACATTTCTATATCCAAGTTTTCCAAGATAAGAGAAACTTGAATTAAAAGCTGTAAATGAAATGTTAACTTGGTTGCTTAGAAAATGAGGTACCAAAGTACACCCCATTTCCGAGATAGTAAAGTTTTGTTAGTTTTCAAAAGCGTTTAAGGGTAATCTATGGGACTAATGACTTTGGTAAGTGCCGGATTTGGAGGGATGTGAGAATAATATTTGTCTCTTAATTTAAATTCTGTGTGTTTTGTCAAAACGATTGTTACTTACACTTAGGTACGATAACATGTAAAATCTGTACAATTAAATAAAATATAAGTGTCTGTTTATATTTGTAGCCTTAGTGATGTACTAAGCGTAATGTAAGTAGGTATATATATATATATGGTATTTATACATCAAAAATAATTTTAATAATGTTTCTGTCTGTTTGTTCATGCTTATCTCTGAAATAGGTGGGCCGAATTTGACAGGATACTTATTTGCGGTTAGCTAAATTATAGGTAGTAACTTAATTTATAAAATTTGTTTATTTTAATCACACGCAGCGAATACAAATATTATAAAGAGAGTAAAAGTGAAGTTTTAGTACATAAGGAAACATTGTAGCGACTTGAGCAATACCATCATTGTTTGAAAGGTACCTACATACATTATTCCAGATAGATATAGGACATGTATTATGTTATACGTATTTTTTATACTCATAATTGTCTGTAAGATAAGCGCTTTCATAAGAAATATTTTGGATGTCTATTTTATACGGATACGAAGTGCTTGTGTATTCTTTGTATAGGCGTAAGCTATGCGATTACACAAATGGATTCATTTTCTTAATTGGGACTTACAGTGTTGTATAAATTCAGAGTATTTAGACAAAATTCAATAGCATTATGTATGTTTGAAAACGCGGAACTCGTTAATAGAAATTAATATATTTTCTTTGAATTCTGTATTCATATCATTCATCGTTATGTACTAAATGCTACTTATACGAACATAATCAGTATGATATAGAATAGATACACGTATAAAATTATGTATTAATGTATATTTAAATACATAGGTAGGGTATCTTGTTTCTGCGTCAAACCGTTCATATGATGGAAACTGTTGCGTAGGTATATACGTATAGATATAATATCTACACGATAAATATAATCTTTAATAATTTAGCATATACTTATATATAACATAGTCTTAGCATGTAGATATTTAAAATCTAGGATATTGCTGGTTATTGTTCCCCAATGCCTTCCAACCATTTAACAGTAGCGATTGCGAAGTGCGTACAAATCACTCGCAATGGTGTCCTTAAATCTTCATTATGGTTAACAAGCCGATCATATTTCTTTCAGTGTGTCTTTTATGTGTATAATTAAAGTAGTGTCAATTCCCCCATCTATGTTTACCAAATAAACATTAATTTAATTTGGCGAATGGATTGCGCTAGTCACCTACATGTCACGTGTACATTACATTTTTTTCGAATCCAGCATTATAAGGGACTGGAGGCTTACGGAGTGCACTCTAGCCCTCTTGAGATTCCCAAGTTAGGCACGGAGTACCACCCTCAATCTTTACGATTAATTGAGTGGGCCGAAACGAAAACCTACGTAAATTGGCTATCGACCTCACGGCTACATATTGTTACGTTTACCCTATCGAGGCCAGACCTTTTGACTTTCAAGTATATTCGGCATCCCTATTTGATTAGGATAGATGAACGTAAACTGTATGGTATAAAAATACTTGAAAGATTTACAAGAAAAAAGATATTTGTAGGTAAGAAAAGATATATCGATTGTGGTCGCGGATTCGTTTCCTCGCACGGTGCAAACATCTGAATTCATGAGTATGATTGTTTGTATCCGCCCGGGTTTTTTTTATGTATATTATGTATGTAGTTACCAAAAAATATATTTAAGTATCTATATCAGCTGTCTATACTAGCGCTCCATGGTTAGTATTGGTTGTAGGTCCAGGGTTATTTATAAGTGTGAAATCTTTAGAAAACTTAATTAGGGTCAACTTCCAGAAACACATTTAAGGACCTAGATCTATAAAATTATAAGTAGGTATAGGATATTTCAAGTATATAGTTACTAATAATTATTTATAGTTTACATTTAATGATTTTTTGAAATATATTTTTTTACTGAACGACTATGAAAGATGTCAATAATCATTATTGCTAGCTATAGGTACCCTTACTTTCTAACAATAAACAAGAAAACTGACGTGAAAATACTCAGCTGGCTTTCTTTATTAGGGACTTAACAAAAGTTTCGTTGTTACAACTTGTTTTTTGGGAACATGGGATGAAGCGAAAGGAAATAATTAGGCAGTCTTAACATTGGGCAAGAAGTTACAAAACTATAAGTAGATATAATCATTTCTCCTTACGGCTCCAATCGAATCCTACTATAAAGTTATTGTTAGATACTAGAACTTTATAGTAGGATTTGATTTATTATTTCTAAATTTGACTTCATTACATTTTTTATTATAAAGTATTTGAAGCAAGTGAAAGATGTTTGTGCCTAGTTATAATATTTTATTAGACTATACCTATATAGAGTACAAAATAATTTGATGCTAACTTATCTGTCATGTTATAGAATGTTTGCATATAATTTATTTATCTACCGGTTTTCTGCGATGAAATTCAACAGCATTAATTAACCGTAAAAAATGTATTAAATTCCTAAATAATTTTCTTTAAAAACTAATGGAATGTATGAAGAGAAAAATTCGTTACATCGCATAGGTACTACAGTGAAATGAAACTGCATATTGTTGCGGTCAAGTGCAGTGGAAATTCTCTGCATTGTTTAACGCAGGAGTACCTTGTTTCATACTCTAAAAGTCCGTCACTTATGCACCGCTCTATATGCCATTTTGGTAAACGGCTTTTATGACTTTTTACCCACGCATATCATAACATTCCTGATATAACTCGTATAAGGATAAGTTAAATAAAAAAGAGAACGAAGTCGCGAGTAAAAACTAGTTTTACTCGTCCTCTTTTTTAGATGTAGGTAAAAGATAGTGTAAGTCCGTCTTTATGTATACAGTTCATATTCACGTTAAATTTCATTGAGATCCAATCAGATGTTTACCATAAAAAGACAGACCGACTTTTGCATTTATAATATATGAAAACTATGAGTATGTCAAATTATATTTAAGTTGTTTGGAAGTAGTAAACTATATCTAACTACGCTTTAGAAAATATCACCTGTTCGGCGACTACATTACGACAGTCGATACTATGGCTTCCAAACTCTATTCTTTACCTGATTATGACCATATGCGAGACACGTGTCGAAATATATCTACACCTAATAGATTATACAGCGCCAATGGTAGCGGGATTATACAAAATAATATAAATCCATTAAATAATGAAATTGTTTTCCGCAAACATGACATCTCATACAACAAAACATATTACCCGATTTTAGTGTTGTATGTGGGCCGTGTTAGTCGCT